AGTGCAATGGATATAAAATCACTTTTAACACGAAGACTGTTACACTCTAAAGTACTAATTTACTCCACGTGTTTATTAGACTTTGACTTTTGAAAGATTAATAGTTTCATTTTTCTCAGATCCACATGTTTATTGGGTTTTACTTTTTGAAGGAACAATTGTGTCATTTTATTTTGGGTAAATTACACTGACCTCCCCTAAGGTTTCGTCAATACACGCTGATGAGTGAGCGCCAAGTCAGGGTTTTGTTTGGACAAAGGTGTCCAAATTTGTAAATCTCACCAAAAAAAAAAAAAAAAAAAAAAAAAAACAAAACTATCTATGAAGTAGCATGAATCACCAAAAGAGCATCTATTGCTGTCTTTAAACGCACAAAGTTCAGAGTTCACATTGGCTCCGTTGTTCTACGGAACTTCGGTTCATAAAGTTAAGTCGTCTTTGACTTTTTTTAATCCGGAATCAAAACAACGCAAAGCATTAGATTCAATTTTTCTATCTTTTCTTGTATTTTCTGAGCAACCAAACAGATTGGGAAAAAAGATGAGAGCGTAGGTAAGGGGTTACCGGAAGAAGATTGAGGTAGAAGCTCCGTATTCTCTGATTCAACCATGTAGGGTTGGAACTGTTGCGACCCTACTTTTCAATACGTTGCAATAATCCCTAAAGAGACCCAAAATGCATTAGTAAGCCAAAAAAAAAAAAAAAAAAAAAAAGGTGAATAAGTAAAGAAAAAACTAAAATACACTAAATCTGGAGATTTTTGTAACATATTATTCAATACCCAACTTGAAAAAAAAGACTGTAGGTCTTTATGGAGCAAAGATAGAGATTGATTAATACAAGCTTATGTAAAATGACGCAATCGAAAACATGATTAATGAAAAATGAAAAAGATGGCTAGTTTGAACTGTTCCATTATACATTGATTTAATAGAATTTTACATGCAAATTGAAAAGATAAATGCATATTAATTTAGCTAATCCACTAGTTGACATGCAGAAAATTCCTTTACTTTGATCTTGATTAATTCCTTTGCCCCCAATATACTTGTATTGTGCTATTTTACACACGCGTCTTTCCAGATACCATGACAATTTGGTGCGAAACCTAAAAACCTAAAAACCCCCCTATACTATCAATTTGGCGCAAATAGATTTCTGTGTGGTATAAAATGACGATAATACCCTTACTTCAGTTGAATAAATTAATAACTATAAATACAGGCCATGTAAAATGACTCTTTTGTCCAATTTATGTAAAATTGTGTTTGTTTGGGACAAGATTATAATAAATCTCAATTTGTATAAAATTGTGATAAATCAAACAAAAAAAAAAAAAAACTTAAAATTGGATATAATAAAAACTGAAACCAAACATTCCCCATCCCAGTAATCAGCAAACTAGAATTGGAGTCATGGATGCGCATCAATGCAACTGAAGTCGCATAATGAACCCAGTGAAGCCAATCAATTAACCTTAAAATATTAAATAATCCATTCAAGAACAATAAGCTACAACTTTAAATATTTGATTTACTTCTGTTTTAATAAGAAAAAAAAGGGGAAAATCCTTCAGAAATTTCGACAACAAAATATAGGAAGGGAAAAACACGCTAAGCAAAGAAACTGTTATCCCAGTAATTCCCATCCCATTTAATGTCAAAAAGATGACACCAAAACTGATTAATATATCCTGAGATAAACCAAGTCACTGGGAAACACCCAACCACTTGGTGAAGTTATCAAACTCGGTAGAATCACCGTCTGAGATCATTGTTTTATGCCATGCCGTGCTAGCAGCCTTAATCATTTTCTAACCCTATAGGGGGGGGGGGGGGAGAGAGAGACGGTAAATAGGTATGGGTTATATACATAAATGGGTGAGGGGCAAAATGGGAATCAAAAGGTAAAATAGGGTTTTCATATTTAGTTTTTGTCAAAAAGTGATTAGAGGGGCTTATTTACACATTTTTTTTAAAAAATTGTATGGACTAATATGCACATTTTCAAAAAGTAGGGCTAATTCTACACAAACCCTATATATCATGGTTTTTTTTGCAGTTAACCCAAGATAAAATGGCATAGAGTGATTATATAAGTTTAAGTATGGCAAACAACTTTCCTAATTAATATTAAGTGATTATGATAAATTACTTATTTCAAAAATATATATATTTGTTTTTACTATCCAACTCCTAAAGCATTTTATATTTTATATTTCATTCAATTTCCACTTTTTTTATTTTTAAACCTAACAAAATAAATTGGATTTAGAAAAAACTATATATGAAGGAATTGAAAATAATTGAAACAAAATTTCATTTGAGTGTTTTGGGTAAACTAATATTTATATTTTATTTAATAAAAAAAAATACCCTTTCAGTTTTCCCAATAAAAAACAAAAGAGAACCAAATCACAATTTAGTGGGTTGCGAGAGCCTGAGCCATGAAGGGTACACAGACCACCATTATTGCATATGCCCATTTACTCAATTTGTGGAGCTATTACCGGGTACTGTTTACCAATGCCAAAACAACTATACATAAAGGAATTGAAAATAATTGAAACAAAATTTCATTTGAATGTTTTGAGTAAGGGTGCATAAAAGAACTGGAACCGTGAGAACCGGAACCGTTTTTTCCGGTTCTCACGGTTCCGGTCCCGGTTCCAAATTTAGGAACTGTGAGCATACAGTTCCAGTTCCGGTTCCAGCCTGCGGGAACCGGTAAGAACCGGAACCGTATATATATATATATATATATATATATATATATATAATAAAGACTAAAGTAAATTCAGACTATTCAGTCACTCATAGACCAGTCATAGTCTCAACCACGTGGTCACTCGTACAGCCACAAAAAAAAAAAGTAAAAAACTCATCTAAAGACTAATTTACCTAAAGTCTCATCTCATCTTTCAAGGAAACCCTCGTCTCCCCTCATCTCAAGCAGCCAAGCTTCCTCGACATTCATCGCCCTCGCCTCAAGCTTCCTCGAATCCTCATCACCTTCGGCACCTCGCCTCCTCTCATCCTCTCATCTTTAGATCGCAGGTAACCTCTCATTCATCATTTGTTTTGTTCGATTCCGGCACTTGCGTTCTCATGCCCGAAACCCCCACGATTGATTGGGAGAAATGAGGAGGTCGAAGGGATGAAAAGCTTATCCATGGGAGCAACATCTTGGAATTTTGTGTAATTAAATAATAAAGAAAGCTCAGTTCGATATGTCTCCAGGATCCCAAGTGGAGTTATTGAAATGGAAGTCATTCCGGCTCTGTAAAATCTGCCAACACATGAACGAGAAAACACTTTTGTGAGAAGCACAGAGTTAGATTGGAATTTCCACAATGCTGTGATTTGTCTCCAGATGCATGCCCATGAAGCAAAGGAAGAATATTTCATCTCATTTTATTTTGAAAGGTTATTCAGAATTTCAGATTTCAGACTATCAATTGATTTATTACCATGGGATGACTGTAATATTATATAATTTATACTATCAGTTTTTATTTTTTTTTGTATTATGTTAATTGTTTTAGCTATGGGCTCAACAAAGCTTTCAAATCAGTACTGATTCTACTGAACAAAGGAACAAAACAGCAAACAGTCGGACAGTTCGGTTCCTGTTCGGTTCCATACCTTCACGGTTCCGGTTCTGGTTCCATTTTTAAGGAACCATTGTGAACGGTTCCGGTTCCGACCGGAACCGTGTGCACCCCTAGTTTTGAGCAGACTAATATTTATATTTTATTGGTCGAATTGCAAAAAAAAACTCCTTAGACTTTCACCAGTTTCTGAAAATCATTACTTATGAATATCTTTAGTAATTAATCATTTCAATTATCATGAGGGGTCATTTTAACTAACCTATGTTAGAGTGATTGTGTGAGAAAAATTTTAGGACAAAATTACTCTTAACATGAAACATTTATTTGAGTGATTGTGTAGTAAAATTTTCGAAAGAAATTACTCTTAAAATAAAAAAAATACATTAGTATTACTAAAATACTCACCACTCAAATTTTTTTTTTTTTTTTTTTGTTTTTTGTTTTTTTTTTTCTTTAACTGCATAAAACACTAAATTGAGACCTCTAATTTTGAAACGAGGTTTTTGATTTTTTTTTCGAAATGTTCTTGCATTTGGAATATATATAGTAATATGGTAGTTATCTATCAAATGTCAACTTAAATTGACTTTGGTGGGAAAAAAAAAAAACTTTTACTATGATTTTTTATAAAATAAGATAAAAAAAGATATATATATATATATATATATATATATATATATATATATATATATATATATATAAGAGATTAAAAAATATCAGTATCATAATTTTTTATAAAATTTAAAAGTAGAAATTTATCAAACTACGTGACAAAATAATCTCATAATTAGGAGGAGGTGACTTTTTTCATTTATATATATGTATATGTGTGTGTGTGTGAATTTAATAGAAAAGTAGTGGGATTAAGATTTATGATGTTGAAATAAATCAAAATTTTTGTCATAATAAAAGTTTTTGCTACACAATAAATAAATAATTAAAGATAGTCGAAACAAATATTTGTTATTTAAGTGAAATATCTTTTTGGGTGGGGAAGGGGGTTTTGTTTTGATATTATGATACAAGCCTATGCTATATTCATAATTTTTTAGAATCTTATAAATTTATACTTCTAAATTTTATAAAAAGTCAAGGTAATTATATTTTTGAATCTCTAGTATATATATCTCTTTTTTTTTTTATATTATTTTATAAAAAATCATGGTAAAATTTTTTATTTTATTTTTATAATCACTCTAATTAGTTAAAATGACTACCCATGGTAGTTGAGGGGATTAATTGCTAAAGATATTATTCAGAAGTAGGGGTGATGTCTTTCTTCTTCTTCTTCTTTTTTTTTTTTTTTTTTTTCAATTTGCCCTATTTTATTTAATAGGAAAAATACCTTTTCAGTTTTGGCTAAACTAATATTTATGTTTCGGTCCGTAGGGTTTTACATAGGATATACCGGTTAAACTGAAAACGCCCTTTTCAAAGACTCATTTTCTCTCTCTCTTCACCGGGTACTGTTTACCAATGGCGGTCGGTGGTTGCACTTTCTCGTCGGACGATATCGTCCTAAAGTCACCGACCGATAGGCGATTATACAGATATATTCAATTGCAGAATGGTCTCTGCGCTCTGCTCGTTCACGATCCTGAAATTTACCCTGATGGGCCTCCCGAATCTTCGAAAACGGCCGAACACAGTGAAGAAGACGAAGACGACGACGAAGACGGAGAAGAAGACGAAGGAAGTGAGGAAGATGAAGAGGACGATGACGAAGAGGATGAAGAAGACGATGAAATGAAAGAAAAGGGAAAGAAAGGCGCTTCTCAGACTAAGCAGGTTTCTTTCTTTCAGCGTCTGAATTCCAAGATTGTTGTAGAAAATTAGAAATTGTTTTGCAGTTGCAATTGGGATTGAGGTTTATGTTATTCGTTTTTGTGAAAATTCTTATAGTATCTATAAGTATAGAAACTTTGAAATTGTTTTGCAATTGCAATTCGGATTGAAGTTTAAGTTGTTATTGTGATGTGTCCAAAACGGTACTTTCAATGTGTTTTGCGTTGTTATTTTGGTAGGTTTATTTTGTTGGATGTCTATTCTTTCTATTGATCATTTTCTTTTCCAGGCAGCCGCAGCAATGTGTGTTGGAATGGGAAGCTTCTCTGATCCTTTGGAGGCACAGGGTCTGGCCCATTTTCTAGGTTTGATCCTTCAACTGTATTCTGTATACAAATAGCAAAGTACATATATAAATACATATTAACTTGCATTGTCATGTCTTTCTGCTAGTAGATATGAAGGATAATCAATTGCATATGTTAGCTATATGAATGAGAAGTTTTTTAATTTTTAATTTTTTATGTTTCTGGTGTTTAGAGATGACATCATTAAGATAGGTGTGATGTAAAAAAATATTGCTCATCTAACCGCCTCAAAAATTGTTAGCTTAAGTGGTTTACTCAATTATTTATTTATTTATTTTTGAGGCGAATAGTCAAGTTTTGATATAAATGTTATGTGCTGTACTTCATCAGGAAAAGAAAGAATTGCAACCTACTTTTTTGAGTTATTCATTTTGGGAAAATCAAAATTGTTTGACCTAAGGTTAGGACAATGGGATGGCCAAAATTATTAAAGACATGGTGCTGAGAAAAGCTTTTGAAGTTAAAAAAATTTCAGCCATATTTGAGCAGAATGGTTAGTCAGGCTGTGTTAGAAGTAGTTTCAATAGAAACTTGGATGGTGATCGCAGTGATGAGATAGGTACAGTGGTTTGAAGATTCTTGAGAGGGATTTAATTAGCTGTCTGCCTGTGTTCTAATTTAGTTTGCTTCGTGGGTTCAACCTTCTCTCTCTCTCTCTCCTTTTTCCTTCTCTTGATGACGAATTCACATTTTATTTTGTATATTCTTGTTTCTTCTTAAGATATAATTTTTTTCTCCTTCAACGAACAAGAAGAGAAGAATCTTTTGACAGTTCAACGAGTATAAAGACACAAACTAGGGTAGAGTTTTACCTTATATGAAATTTGATTGTCAGACGCCACTCATGAATTATTATTTCTTGCAGAACACATGCTCTTCATGGGGAGTACTGAATTTCCAGATGAGAACGAGGTATGTTAATGTAATTTATTTTTCTTTAAATTTTTATCTTGAAACCACGTTACAGATGCTTATTGGTTTTTATATTTCATTGCTACCAAGCAGAATGATAACATATTCTGATTAGTCATAGAACTTTTTGTCTATTAATTTCCCGAAGCATTATCTGTATTTATGCCGTTATTCTGAAGTTATATCACTAATTGGAATAAGATGTGGATTCTGGATGGTGACTTGATGGCAATTTGACCTCCCAGATTGACTCTTTTCCTTGCTAGTATGATAGTTACTTATCCAAGCATGGGGGCTCGTCTAATGCATACACGGAAGCTGAGCATACCTGTTACCATTTTGATGTTAAGCGGGAGTTTCTGAATGGTGCCTTGAGAAGGTAAGCCGGCAGATCTGCTTGTGTTAATGAAACAAGGTTGAACTTTGAAGTATATATGCTGCTTTTCACATTGGCCTTAAGTCTTGCTCTTGTCTTCCTGATTATGATCATCAATGTAGGGTGGACAGAATTGTTTAATGGTTGTACAATTATATATGGATTAAAGGAAGTGCATCTTGGTGTACTGAAGGAATTAATTATTTTGTTTTTCATATGATTAGGTAGGGTGTTGATGGAGATTTTTTTTCTCAGGCATATCTTTTTCTTGATTTTGTTTATTGGTATTGCTTTGGATTTAGTAATTTTGTATTTTTTTGAACTGAAGGAAAAGTTCAACGAATTTCGCACTCATTGTTTGGTTTAGTGGTAAACAGGTCTAAGAAAAAGTGAAATAGCTAAAAGGTTATCAATATTTTTCATATTCATGTATTTGGCTCTGCCAAGAGCTTAAAACCTTTAATTTATAAGTGATAGTTAATAAAAATGTAATAGAGAACATGAATAATGCTCCCTCCGTCCCAATTTAAGTGTTGCTTTTGGGGAGTAGTAAATTTTATGGGGACATGTGGGACATGCATCGTCTTCCTAAAAGTTACTAACTTGCCATTTTAAGTTTTGAATATTCAAGTTTGAAATTTTAAACTCCAAGAACACATATGGAAAGATGTGAAATATATTGTTTGAAAAAAGAAAGTGGACAATTATTTTGGAACAGACCAAAAAGGAAAGCATGACAATTTTTTTTGGGGAGGAGGGAATACGAGAAAATAAAATGCTAAAGGAAATGAGTTCGAATTAAATTCCTTTATGCTCTAAAGGTGGCGCTGATAGAATTTTTCTAAGTAGAATAAACATAGTCAAATAACATGAGAGGGTATCTCAAGTAACGAATTTTTTTTTTTTGATAAGTAAGAATTTTATAAAAAAGCGCTCAAAGGGGAGCGAAACCCAAGGAAACAAGATGAAAAAAAACCATAAAGAGCCTCAAGCTTTCAAAGAGGCCAAAAAAATAACAATCTCCTCAACAGAACGATAATCTCTCCCTGAGACCCAACAAAAGAGAGTAGAAATAATAGAGAACTTAAGCATAGAAATGGGTTTCTCCTTGCCATCGAAGTATCTTTGATTCCTCTCGAGCCAAATGCACCATCAAACATATAGAGGGGTAGCCCTCCAAACATCCCAGATGAGCGCCCCAACAGAGACACCTCTCCAAGCCTCAATCAACCCTCTAGAGGAACAGGGCATAACCTAGGGAACCCCAAATAACCCAATCATCAAATCCCAACAATCTCTGGCCATACTACAATGCAACAGAAGGTGATCCACTGTCTCCTCATCGCAACGACACAAGTAACAGCGATTGATAACCACCTGCATTCTCCTCCTCAAATTATCCTGGGTTAAAATCCCACCCAAGACAGACGTCCAAGCAAAAAAGGCCACCTTAAGGGGAGCCTTGGAACGCCAAATAGCCTTCCAAGGGAAAGTGCCACCCTCCCCATTAGAAAGGCACCTGAAAAAGGATCTCACCTCGAAATGACCCTAAGAGTGAGGACTCCAGAGCCAACAATTAGCCTCCTCATGAGAGATCACCTGACGATTTAGTAACTCCAAAAAACGAGTGACCTCCTCAATTTCCCAATTCTGAAAATGCCTTCTAAACTGAACGTCCCAAGTTAGTCTTCCGTTATCAAGGTGATAACAGTCAACCACCAAGGCCTGCTTGTCAGAAGCAATCCTGTAAAGCCGAGGGAAAGAAAGAGCAAGGGGAAGATTCCTACACCAAAGGTCCTCCCAAAATCTGATCCTCCTACCATCCCTGATCCTAAAGCGAACATGATTACGAAAAACGTCCCATCCCTTTTGAATGCAAGTCCAAACCCCCACACCCCTAAGACCACGCCCCTCGAGAGAACACCACCCACCACTGATTTCCCCAAACTTGCTAGCAATAACTTTCCTCCAAAGCCAAAGTCTCTCAACCCCAAATCTCCAAAGCCATTTCCCAAGAAGAGCCCTATTGAAAGGCAACAACCTTCGAATCCCTAATCCTCCACTCCGAAGGGGACGACACACTTGCTCCCATCGAACCAGATGATATTTGAACTCCTCTCCTCTCCCTCCCCAAAGAAAATTCCGCTGCAAACTTTCAAACTCTCAAGTAACGAATTTTAACATCCATTATGAACAATTTAAACATGACGGCCACACTTTCTTATTACTTAATAGAAGCAATGAGACGAGCAAGGGATAACAATGCTAAACCTTTTACTTTTGATGATTTTTTGGAATGCTTTAAGCGAATGCTAAAAATTTCACGTTTTTTAATCCTTTTTCAAACCCCATAAGACTTGAAGTAGGGATTTGAAAAATTAAAACATATGCATTTTGGGCTACCTAGGGATGGGTGCAAAGGATGTTGGTAACTAGAAAAAAATAATATACTTCTGGTCATTTATACATATCCGAGGCTGTTATACTGCTGTGGATGGTGTAATCAGTGCTGCAATTGGATTTGAATTACATATAACTTGATATTTGGCTTGAGAGCCTGAGATTGTTACAAAATTCTATTTGTATAAACTAATTTTGTCTTTTTATTTTTTTGATGGATATAGTGTATAACCAGATCTAAGTTTCCGGGGAGATTTATTCTTGCTCTTTGTTTCACAGATTTTCTCAGTTCTTTATTTCACCTTTAGTTAAAGCTGAAGCCATGGAACGAGAGGTTCTTGCTGTGGATTCAGGTGTTTTTCAGTCTAATATGAGTCTGCTGATTTTGATTGTTTGTCTCAACAAACACAGCCCAGTCCTTGTGTTATAGTTCTTCATTGTTATGTTTTGATGTTGACACTTCTCTAATTCCTGAATTGTATGCCATAATGCGAAACGAAATGGTTCACAGAATTTAACCAAGCTTTGCAAAACGATTCTTGCCGCCTTCAACAACTACAATGCCATACATCAACGCCTGGCCATCCCATTAACAAATTCTTTTGGGGTAAACTTGGTTGTATTATTTGTTTATTTCTTTTTATTTATTTATAGTTATTGGTTAATTTATGTCAACTTGTTTTTCTTTCATTGCATGGAAGGGAACAAGAAGAGTCTGGTTGATGCTATGGAGAAAGGAATCAATCTGCGCGAACGAATATTGAAATTATATGGTGATAACTACCATGGTCGGTTAATGAAGCTAGTCGTCATCGGGGGAGGTACGACTCTTTTGCTTAATATTGATATTGTGTGACCTACCAAATAATAATAATAATAATAATAATAATAGTAATAGTAATAAAATAATAATAATAGTTGGAGGAGAGAAAACAGAATTGGATGAAATTACATGAGCTGGATTGATTCTTTTGCAACACTAGATTTTGTTCAGATAATTATTTTTGAGTCCCGAAAATTTGGAAGAGGTGGTGATGTATTGACTATTGTGCTGAAGAGGAGACAGATACTGTAAGTTGGTGATGATGTGGTGGCGGTGAGTTGTGCTTGTGCTATAATGAAGTTTATGGTGATGATGATGTTATAGGGGTGGAATGGTGATGGTAAAAACAGTGTTGGCGGTGGAAGTAATATGGTGGTTCATGTTGTTACTTGAGGTGGTTGTGGCGAGAATGGTGGTGTTGATGTTGGTTGAGGCGATTATAAGCGATTTTCTTTCTCAATGGCTACTAAATGACATTTTCGGGAATTAACTTTGATTGTTATATATATGATCAGTTCCCGTTCCCGCTGTGTATTTTCTCAATGGCACCAATTGATTGAATAAAATTAGTTTTGCATTCTAAATGTTTTTTCTTTGGAACTTCAGATTATGCTTATTTTTAATTTAGATGTGAATTTTCTTTCTGGAGGTCATGGGCCTTGGAGAATGGTAAGGTTGCTCCATTGTGAGCTGGAGATCATGTGTTTGAAACAAGAAACAACCTCTCCGCATGTGGAAGTAAGGCTGCGGACATTTGACCCTTCCGCAATGGTGGGAGCCTCGTCCACTAAGCGGGCCCTTTTAGATGTGAATTTTAGTTCTGCAAAAATTTGTTCCCGTTGGAAAATTTAAACTAGAAACCTTGTAGGAAAAAAGGTCACTTTTCTTCCTTAATTGTATACCGAACCAAATGAGTTTGTACTTATCAAAAAATAAATAAAAAATACTGAACCAAATAAGTATTTATTATTAGTTTTTTGATGATTATGGTGTGGGCAATGTGGTCTGTTTGAGAGGATTGATATATTTCTTCACTGTAATGTTAATGGTTCTTCTTTTAAATGCTGCAGAGACTCTAGATGTACTTGAAAGATGGGTTCTGGAATTATTTAGTAATGTAAGAAAAGGTCCTCCAGTAAAGCCAGAGGCTAATGTGGAAGTTCCCATATGGAAAGCCGGTAAAATTTACAGGTTACAGGCAGTTAAAGATGTTCATATCCTTAATTTGACATGGACATTACCATGCCTTCGAAAAGAGTATTTGAAAAAATCAGAAGATTACTTGGCTCATCTCATCGGGCATGGTAAGATATACTATGGGACCAACTGTTTGAAGTTGTTTCATTCAAATAAAGCACTTCTTTTAAGAGGAAAAGATGGGATCTTATTGTTTTTCTTGCTTATTTGTTTTTCTTATTGTTTCGCACCTGGGTTCTCTTGTATAAGACCTCTTATTCGGCTATTATTTTTGTGGATTTTTACCCTTTTTGTTTCTGCAGCCTCATGCTTCTTGTTAAAAGAAGGCAAAATCATGCTTGTGTTCCTTTATTATTTAATCCATTGCTATGAATATTTGCAAATCCCTTAAAGAAATGGATTTATGGTGCTTTAGGGTTCAGATTCGTCCGATATGAGAAGTAATGTGTTGCTTAAATATTATCACTTTGCTAGTTTGTTGTTCTTTATGGCAAATGTTAGTGTTGAGATGCTGTGAAATGATTTTTGCGATTCCTTTTGTATTGTGTTTTGAAAGTGGACATGTCAAGAATGCCAAGATTTAATGTTGTGGCTCATTTCAGAATGGGTGAGTGAACCACTTTTGAGTTTTCACTAATCGGAGTTGTGGTGAAGCGTTTTCCAAAGCCATTTCCCCTCTTTTTCTTTGGCTATGTATGGGTATGCTTGGTTTAATTTATGTCTCTGTCAATTTAGATTTTTATTTTTACCGCCATGTTCATAACACTTGATAAAAAATTTATGGGACTGGATCCCGTGATCTCAATCTAGAGAATGGTGAATGGGTCTTGCTGGTAACTTTAAATTATTTTAATAACTTTTTTGAATTTTTAATTAAATTACTGAAATTTCAAATTTAAATATAAACTTAATATTAAGTACGAATAAGTTCATAATGCTGATCATAACAACCATTCAAACACAAGTATATTAAGCAATATAAAGCATGAATAATGAAGACCAAGATTTTTGTGTGAAAAACTCTACGGAAAAAACTACTGAATCTAATCCAGTTAAATAAATAAATCCACTATCAGGAAGAGAGATTACATCAGGTCAAAGTTCATATACACTAGAACCCCTAGTTACCTCTTGACACAGACTGATCCACCAAATGTATGCACAGTCTCTAGGCACATAGTTTGCTTTATCAACAAACTTTGCTTATCAAGAAGCAGTTTCTTCAATAGCAAATATTATCTTTAAACAAATGTTCCACTCCAATCTAGAATGTTGGTATTGAACTATTGAAATTAGCCCCAAAGCAGTTATGTTGTCAACACACACTAATCTAATGTAATGATGAATGGTAAAAGAAAATTATATGAATGTACTCCAAATATGTTGCAAATCTCTCTAACTTGTGTATCTCTAAATTAAAAATAAAGTCTAAATTACAGACTCTACTTTTGATTCACGAAATATGCCAATAATTTTTTTTCTCTCTTTTAATGGTTCAGACTAAATTCGATTGAAAAACATAATTCAGAAAAAAAATCTAACCACATTTTGAATTTGAATTTGACTGAAAAATTCAAATTCAAGACCGGATCTTTTTGTGTTGAATTTGTATCCCATTCAAATTTGGATACTTAAATAGCAAATTTTAACCAAATTTCTGAATAACGTGTCAAGGGTTTTTGTTGTTGTTGTTTGGGAACCTCTATAGGATGTTATCGTCGAAGTTGCTTTATTTAGATCAAAGATGTAAGGTGTACCAACAGGCTAGTGGCCTAGCGATACCAGGCCCCTATATCCCAAAGGGAGACCAGGGGTTCGAGCCTAAGTGGAGGCATGTGTGCGTGAGTACCAACTAAGAAAAAAAAAAATGATGTAAGGCATAGTTTAATGTTTGTCTTGAGGTGTGTGGATAACTAGACAGTCAACCTCAACCACTTTCGAGCGTACTTTAATCGTCATTTTGGGTTAAGTGTCTTTTAGTGTAGCACTTTTTGGTCTTTTCCTGCATCTTTTGTATAGTCTTAAGTAGATACGAGACACTAGAATCGTTGGAGGGAGGCATCTAATGTGGAAGACATTTTAAATGTTGTTTTGATAATTTATTCGAAATTTGTTACCATTATACTTATCAAAATAATAATACTGATAACAACAACAACAGTGATGATTCCTCTAGCAGTAATTTCTACAGAATTGGAGTGAAATAGAACAATGCCCACATGTTAAATTAAGTATATAGGTTACATTTATAGAGGTGTCCTACTTGCTATAGGGCATTAGGAGTAGGAAGTTGACGAGGTGATCATGTTTTTAGTGTCTTGAGCAATGAGTAAGAAAAAAATGTTTTGTAGCAATTTTTTTATTTTTTGTTTTTTGTTTTCTGTTTTCTGTTTTCTTGCTTTGATTTATCCCTGATTGCATGTTATATAGGTAAAATAGTTCAAAAACTGACATTTCTTTGAGTGTCAATTTGGTTTATGTGCATGTTAATTTTTGGTTGACAACATTTTTAATGCATGGTTTTGATATCTGATCATAAAATTGTATCTTGTTCAGAGGGAAAAGGGAGCTTGCATTTCTTTTTAAAAGCTAAAGGGTGGGCAACTTCTATATCTGCTGGTGTCGGGGATGAAGGAATGCACCGATCTTCAATAGCTTATATTTTTGGCATGTCTATACACCTCACTGACTCTGGCTTGGAGAAGGTAGTTAATCTTATTACGCAATCCTTTAGTTGAAGAAATTAGTTCTATATTCTTTATTGTTTTTAGCTTTCCATATTGTGATATACTCATTTTTCCACTTTTTCAGAAGTAACTTATTAATTGGATTTTCTATCTTGGACATTGAAGGATGAAATTTGTAAACCATAAACACTTGCCTTAATTTAGGCCCTCAGGGTTATTGCATTCAAGAATTGGATTTGGTCAGATGATGTTTTTCGTCTTTCACATAATCATTCTCGAGCCTGCGGAAGGAATTAAACCATACTATATATTGGATTCTTTTAAAATAAGAGAAGATTGAGGATGAGTTACCAATAAAATTAGAAAAGAATGGAGGAATTTCTTTTAAAATTATAGCAGTATGGATTGGAGAAGTTTCCTTCAGAGTGTTCGCTTGACAGTAGAATTTTTATCATGTCTAAGAGGATTTTTTTTTTTTTTCCCTGTTCACATCTAAGAGGATTTGTGTTTTAAGAAAAAACAAGTAGAAGCAATGAATGTAGGCTTATGATCTCTAGTATAGACTTTTAGGTTAAGGGTTATGATCTCTGGGATAGATCTGATGAAAAGCCTTGTCACAATAGATTTAACTTTTTTTTGAATCAAATGAACGGGGGATCATCCTTTTCTTCTCCTTTTCTCTCTGTCTTTTTCTTGGCTAAGGAGATTAAGACAAAAGAGAATTTCTCCAGCCAGGGAGTCATTATTGGGCCTTCTTCCCTCTAAAAAGAAAAAAGCAATCATCATAGGAAAGGAATTTTTTCTTTTCAGTCATTTTGTTCCTGATAAAAGAAAATCCAAAAATATACAAATAAATGAAAAAGGAAAAGTTGTAGCTTGCGTTTGCATAGAGGCATGGAAGTGGGCACTTCCATTGTCTTCGTTCTTATATAGAGTGTGTGCCTCTTGTTTAATGCAACTGTATTCACACGCGCGCACATATATTTTGGATTCACCTTTTTTCTCTGCGGAATCTGATTAGTGGTCAATTGACGGTGAACATTATATAATTTACTACCTTTTTCTTAATTGACGGTGTTCTTCGAAGATGAAAGAGAATGAAAAACATTTAGATTTAAATAAACTGGGTGGGAACAGGATCCAATAGAAAAGTCAGCTCCATGGAATATATTGACGAAGTGGTGTCAAGCATGGTAGCAATCAAAATTTGTGTGAAATAATTGGCGCTTTAAATTGTAATGGACAGATGGGAATCTTTTAGTTGAATTATATGATCAATATGTCGTATAACCAACTCTTGTGATTTGTGTGTTAAAATGAAATGAAATAAAAAAATATAACTACAGTGATTTGTGAATAAGTACCCATTTAGGAAAACAACATATTTGTTTTTCTCTTGTTTCATCTTTCTAAATTGGGGTACACTTTCTTTTGCCATGTGATTCTGATGTGGCAGATACACGAGATCATTGGGTTTGTTTATCAATACATAAAGTTGCTACGTCAAGTTTCTCCCCAAGAATGGATTTTTAAGGAACTGAAGGATATTGGAAATATGGAATTTAGATTTGCAGAAGAACAGCCTCAGGATGATTATGCTGCTGATCTTGCAGGTTACCCCCCTTTTGTTTTGGTTCCTTTCACCTTTTCCATCTGCTTCTTTGTTGTATGTTTAATTGACAGTCTTTTATTTAAGATATTTTTACAATTATCTGTTAATGAATTTTATTCAGTAATCTATTTATCAGCTGCCTATTGAGCCTTGTGTTTAATCAAATTTGCTCCATTGCTTTGAATTATGTAGACTTTACCAGCCAAATTCGTACTTTGAGGTGTTGTTGATTCCCAATGAAACATGGATGCAGATACAAAATATGGATTGACACTATATAGATAAGTAACAAAACTAAAATGGGATGAAGTTATTAGAACTGATTTAAAGGCTTAAGATACAATAGGAGATATATAATTCATGTTGCTGACCCTATTCATATGGGATTAAGGTAAGGATGATGACGATGAAAAATTCTTAAAAAATAGGATAGGAGTATTAAAAATCACTTGCATGGGCTTAGGAGTTTGAACGGAATTAGGGGTGATATATTCTCTTTACATCTTCAACCCTTCTTCAATAAGAAGGTATTTGAACTATCATTACACATATTCCAACAATTATACTATTTTAATTTGCTAAAATTCTAGATTTATTGCTTGTTATAGTTATAAATGAATGGGCTGTCAAGTAGGAGAAAATGGGCTCAAATCTTGAGAACATCCATTTTTTGCAATTTTTGCCAACCGTTGGGTCCGTATCTGGTTTGCCCCTTCCAGTATTCTTGCTTAATAACCCTTATTATACTAAAAAGACTGCATTTTAATGTTAAAGATGTTTCCAGGAGTATTTCAGAAGCACTAGATACATGTTTGGTGTAGAAATTATTATTATTATTAATTTTTCTTTTAACATGTTACAAAGTATTCAATACATATCCATGAGTATCCAATGATAATATCTAATATAGTCGTGGCTCTATTGTTGAAGTACCATTCTTCATAGTTGGTTCCTTTATCAGTAGAGTCTGGAAGTTAGATTAAGAACATGTTTCAGGAAAATATTATCCGAAAGATTATTTAAATAAAGGATCTTTCTAACTTATTCAAAAGAACAAAATGACTAACCTCTTAATGAAAACATTGTCTCATTTGTATTTTTTAATCCATTTCACTGGAATGGCACTACAAAAAATGGTGAAAGTTTTTAGAATATCTCATAATTCCCTTGAACATATTTTAATCTTTCCACTTTAAAAAACTGTGCTTACCAACTAAGAAAAAAAGAAAAACTGTGCTTTCCCAAAAAAAAAAAAAAAAAAAAAAAAAAAATTGATATTAAAGAAAATCCTTTTGTATTTATCTGAAATGATTGTCCTCATCGAATGCATTCGAGTTTGTTTAGAGTAGTGTTATCATATATGGTACTTATTCTTTCAGTTAACCCAGTGATGAAAATTGTTTTATGCAGAGAACCTGCTTGTTTATCCACCTGAACACATTATTTATGGGGACTATGCATACAATGTGTGGGATGAGGAAATGATCAAATACGTTTTGAGTTTCTTTACTCCAGAAAATATGAGGGTGGATGTAGTATCGAAGTCTTTCAATAAGTTGCAAGGTAACTTTTATAAACCTTTCAGTTATTACTATGCCCTATAACATCATACTTATTTCAATTTTCCCTTCCACATGATATATCTTTTTGGTAAAGGGTGTCCGGGTTCATGGGCATAGTGTACAAAGGTGTCAGGAAGTGCTCCTTTGTCCAAGTTTTTGTATTTCTTTTAGAAAGAGATCCTACCTAGAAGTCTAATTGAGGTGTGAAGACATGCACCACTTCGTACAAGTATTCTAGCTGCAAAGCTTGAATGAGATGTGCATATATGTTTCTGGAAATTTCAGTATTAGAAAACTATAAGCTATTTATTCTTTCTGCATGGCTTTGATCATGTAAGTTGTTAGACATTTTGATTTGGAAGCTTATCATAATTGAAATGTGGGTTCCTTTAATGTAAAATATTTGAAAGCATAAAGAGAATATGATTTGGCTAGTAATAACTTGGTATAACAATGAGCAAGGTGAAAGATTTTCTCCTCTTGCCCAAAGGTGTCTTGTTTCCTATGTGCGTAGAATTGTTGTGCATCTTATCATGGTTTCCAGGGTTTCAATCCCTCTAGATTTCTTCATATTGTAAGACCCATTTGGATAATATTTGTCATCTTATCAATTCATGTTGGATTGTTCGAATTATTTATTTTGGATGATGTTTGAATGTAGCAGGTACCCCAAATAGTTGGGGAAAGACTTTGTTGAGTTGATGTACCCCGAGTAGTTGGGAAAAGACTTTGTTGAGTTGAGTTGAGGTGATGTTTGAATGTGATGAAAGATTGACAATTCTGAACAATGTTAAAGTATATAGTCTTGCATGATTTCTATGGGCACCTATGCTGTATTTATGAGAACTTTCTTCACGATTATAATTCAATGTAGAAGTTAGAAGTCAAATGTATGCCCTGTGCAAATGCTGCATTGAGGCATGCTTGATTATAGAATCATGTCACGACCCACCCACACCGTGTAGATAATGTCTGCTTTGCACACTCTCCTCTCTCCTCTTGGTGCTCACTATTTTCCTCAAAACGCGTCTACACAGTTGGGAGGATGTCCACACATATAAGTGTTATCAATCCTCTCCTCCCAGACGATGTGGAACGTCACTATAACGTCCCACATCGCCTGTGTGTTGTCTTTTCATTTATTAAAAATATTCAATGGAGTTGTCTTTTCATTTATTAAAAATATTCAATGGAGTGCTAATATCAACTGCCTTGACATAATTCTTGTTACATAGTGTGTATATAAAAACATTTTTGAAGTACTTTATACAATTTAATACATTGTTCGGTTGATTTACCCAGCAATTGAAGAGGCCCAGTAGTGCACCCTTCAATCTATTCATGAAATGATTGTTGGAAATTGTGTCTCAAATTCTTATTCTAATTATGTTTCTATTTTAGAGTTGTATCATGTTTGGTAATTTCTTATTTGGCAAGTTTTGACCTCTAAGAAATTGTAATCCTTGTCCAACAAGGAATTGGGTTTGAAACTCTATAAATAGATACATAGGCTTTGGGTTGAGACTTATGAGATTGAGAGAGATGTAGTCTCACGAGGGAGTTGATGGGTAGAGGTACTATGCGGGTTGGTAGAGTAGGAAAAACACCGGTGACGCTGATAGCGAGGAAATAGGCTTGTGGAGTGGTGGTGTTGGTACTCTATTGTTGTAATATTTTAATGAATCATAGTGGAATCTCTTCTCATCCATGGACGTGAACCATGTATATTTTGTTTTTGTGTGTGATTGCTTTGTTGGCTTTTGTTGGATCTTTGTTATTCGTGCGCTTCCGCTGCCCCCAACAAATGGTATTGATGAAATTATATTTAATAAGATGGTCTATTGTGCTGAAATTATACCGTGTCAAAGAAAATGTCAGCTCAGTTGCCAGTAATGTCTTGCTCATGATAGAAAAAAATTATGGAATTTTCTTTTTATAAGATGGAATATCCATGTTAAGTAGTTAACTATGGGAAATAGGATCTTTTTGTACCCATCTACTGCACAATTTAATTTGCCTTCTATGCATGAAAGGTTTGAGTTGCTAATGATCACTTTAAAGCTATTCAATGTTTCATGTATAATTTGGCTTTCTTTGCGACCCAAAAAAATGTGTGCACGACAAATTTGGAAGGCCCTTAGTAAACGGCAAGTAATATGTTGTGTTATTTGTGCAGGATCTTATGACAGTTATTCATAGTCCAGTAGTTTTCTGTTAATAGTCTTTATCCATTCAACTCAACAACTGTAATTCAATCTACCAGCTCTTAGCAACATGGATTTGTCATCGCCAGTCTAGTGGGCTCTTTCAAAGCCCCATATCCTTGATTAAATCTGGGGCGAAGTCATTTCTCACATCCTGAATTAACATTGTTTTGGCCTTCCTCGTCACTCTTGCAGCTTGCACTTGGCCATAACCATACTTCATAGTGATGCAATACTTGCCATATGTTGCATGAGGCTAAATCATCTTTAATTTCTTGAATCACATCCCTTCATTAGTTCATCTTATCTTCAGCCTTGCTGAGGACTTGGTGTTGTATATGGTTGGAAAATTTTGTAATAAAAGCTGGAGTATGGATATATATATTTGTAGCTTATTGTTTAGTTGAGTTGTGTTGAGTTTACTTTTGACTTGAAGTCAACTATGGCTAAAAGAAATACGTTCTTTAATGGAAGCCTAAAGAAAAGGGGAAAAAAAGAGATCATCTTTCTCATATATTAACACCCCATAAAAAATAAAAATAAATAAATAACTATGATTGAGCTACTTAACACTCTCCCTTGTTTTTTTATTTTTTTATTTCAGATTTACAATGCGAGCCATGGTTCGGATCACAATATACCGAGGAAGATATTTCTCCACATTTGATGGAGTTATGGAGGGACTCTCCTGATGTTGTCACGTCCTTGCATCTGCCTACAAAGAATGAGTTCATTCCGTGTGATTTCTCCATACGTGCCGAAAAGGTGTCCACAGATCTTGCAAATGTACATTATCCAAAATGTATAGTTGATGAACCTTTGATGAAGTGCTGGTACAAACTTGACAAGACATTCAAATTTCCTCGTGCGAATACGTATTTCCGCATTACATTAAAGGACGGATGCAAAAATGTGAAGAATGCTCTGTTGACTGAATTATTTATTCAGCTTCTAAAAGATGAGCTGAATGAGATTGTATATCAGGTTAGTTACTTGTCTTTTTAAACAGATGATTTGATGTTCTCGTTGAACTGAGAGGTTTTTCTTCTTCGCCTTGTTCCTTTTTTTCCCCCTCCTTTTAAATGTTTTTGTCAGGGAACATTAGATTTTAATCTTAAAACTTATTTGCACCATAGTTTATTTTGTATCAGGTCTTGATGAACTTCAATGCTTACCAGGAAAATCAATGGATTTGATACGCTTAACATGGACATATATCTATGCAAAGTAATCCAGTAAATGAGAATTTAATGGGGTATTTTTCTCTTGAACTTCCTTGGTGTTGAAGGATTCAAAGGAAATTATTTTCCATATTTTCTAATGAAAATCTTTAGAATTATATTATAGTTTATACATTGTAAGACTCTATGGTCATACTCTATAACCTTGCCAAAATTTCTGTTTTAATTGGATATTGTCCTACTTACTAACTATTTATGCAAATACTGCAACTTAAACTGTTCTTTCTGTCGGCCATCAATCAAAACAAACCTTCACTCTTATAATTCCACATACTGGATCGTTTAAATAATTGTTCTGTGGGCCACTATTGATTTGTTTGTTTGTGTTTTTTTCTTTCTTTCGTTCTTTTTATTTATTTATTTATTTATTTTATTAAATAATAATGAGCATACTATTTCTTTCTTGGGCTCTAATTAGATGTATGATATTAGAATACGTCATGAACCTTCATTTCTCTTTTGCAGGCCAGTGTTGCAAAGTTAGAAACTTCTGTATCACTTTTCAGTGACAAGCTGGAGCTGAAGGTCTATGGTTTTAATGACAAGCTTCCAGTTCTTTTGTCTAAAGTTTTGGAAATAGCCAAATCTTTCTCGCCAAGAGATGATCGCTTCAGTGTATGTCCAGAACAGCTTTTGCATCTCCTGCATCTTTTTATTCTCCACATTATCTATCTTCTTGTATTGTGCCTTACTTGACTGTCAATGAGTTGCACACTGTATAAGCTTCCTTACATAATCTTGTCATCTTGACATGAATAAGTATGTGACCATTGAAAAGTGCAAGAAACATTTTGGGACTGGCATATAGCAAACTAGGTGAATAACTTGTGATTGGGTCACCCAAGCACAGTTACAATGTCTTATTGCTCTTTTATATGCTCCTAATTGTTTAAAAGGATTGAGTCAATGATGGTTAAGCTGCAGTGTACTTCTGCATTTCCAGAATCAATTGTATATCCTCTCTGAATTTCATCTTACATTTCTGGAGATAATCTCACTTACTAAGACACTGTTTTTTGTCTGTCTGGCACCCTTACGGTGATTTTGACAGGTTATTAAAGAGAATTTGGAGAGAACCTTGAAAAACTCAAACATGAAGCCACTAAATCATTCATCATATTTGAGACTGCAAGTCCTGTGCCAGAGTTTCTGGGATGTAGATGAGAAGCTGTGCTTGCTAAATAATTTATCTCTTAATGATCTAAAGGATTTTATTCCAGAGCTTCTTTCTCAGGTGTGCAAGTTAATTAGCATACTAAATATGTGTATCGGATAATTTGTATAAATTCTGGCACCAGTTAACTCTTAACACTTCTGAATGCTCTTTAGTACTATACTGTTTTTGCCCTTTTGTCTTAAATCTGTTTGCCCTCGGTGTACTTTCCTTTACTAAGGTTTGCTTTGGGTACTGACATTCATATTAGATGCAAAATTGTAAGATGCAGACATTGAAGACTATGCTGCTAAGTTCTAACCATCTTTCTTTATTTATGTCTTGTGAAGTCCCCTCTGAGCCTGCTCCTTGCGACCAGTACATAGACATCAGGGTACTACATTTTGTCTCAATGATCATTCACAATTAATAATATAAAGTAAATTTGATGGTTAAACGATAAAGAAAAATTTTTTTTGATGGTTGGGTTATCTGACTAGAACTTTCGAGCCTCCTCAGGGTGCAACAGTATTGAATTGTGACATGTATTATTGCTGCCGCGAGGCCAACATTATTGGAGATACATGGCTGAATTATATAGGGAATCTATGTTTTGAAACTCAACTTGCATCTTCTGTTTGATGCACAGCAGGAATATCATATTTAACTGAAGCCAAAAAAATCATGAATCTAAAAGAAAATTAAGGAAAAATGCATTTCGTTCTCAAACCAGTAGTATTAGGTTGAGTTTATGCTTAGAATTGCACAATAGTAAATTGGCCTATATCGGTGTTAGTGTTGTAGAGAGGAAAAAAGGAAAAAGGTAAAGAAGAAGAAGAATATATATATATATATATATATATATATATATATATATATTTGTGGGTGGGGGTGAGAGAGAGAGGATTATTGTGGCCTGCTCCTGTCGAACTTAGGGTATAATTATTTACATAAGATCCCAACACTTGTAATAATTATACTACTTTGCAACTATTCCCCTCATGCTGGAACATGGATATTTATCATGCCCAGCTAGTTATACAATTCAGCGAAATGGCTCTTTCTCAATACCTTGGTAAAAATATCTATTGATTGAGCTCTTGATTTGAATGCAAGAAGTGTATATATTTACTCATCAGACGAATTCCTTACAAAATGACTGTATACTCTGATGCATTTCGTTCCCTGACAAAGCATTGTGTTACTAGTAATGTGCATAACTACCTTATTATCACTAAAAAACATACATTCTCAAGTATCTGATTAATAAGATCCATTTCCTGTAAAAGTGTCTGATCAATATGATCCATTTCCTTGTAAATACATTTTATTTACTTTCTTTTACAAGCTTTATTTGCTGCTTTGATGTTGTTCTCTTTAGCCCATTTTTACCCTTGACAAAACCGAGCTTATCAAAGAAAGCCTTTAGAGACTTTACTAGAACAGACATAGTTAAGTAAACTCAACAACAGAAAGAGGGTAATAAAAAATAAAATTTATCCACTAACTGAAAATAGATGATAGGGCAAGAGGTATTAATACCGACCATCATATCAATCTTTGATGAAAACAAAAGAGCATGGCAGAAGACTGTGAACTGATTTGGGAAGGATGAGAGAGAGAGTTACAATAGGGCCACAAAAGGAACATTTGTAACAAAAGAGGAGATGGTAGCATTTTCTATTTAAGCCATGGTTTTTTCCATAGGTCAGAAATGGTGGCACAAACTGCTACTTATTTTTTTTCTTTTTCAACTTGAATATGATAAATGATGCTATAAGCAAAAATCACGAGAAGTACCATTAATGAACTTAAGATTTTTAATGTTCTGTTTTGTACTGTTCTTCAATATATCCATATGGTTATATAAAAATGGTCAGAGCACCATTATTTACACGCTTCTGACTGTTTTGATGCAGCTATATATTGAGGGGGTTTGCCATGGCAATTTGCTGGAAGAAGAAGTGATCGAAATATCAAATATATTTAAAAGAAACTTTTCAATACAACCGCTCCCATTTGAGATGAGGCATAAAGAGTATGTTATGTGTCTCCCTTCTAGCGCTGACCTTGTTAGAGATGTAAGGGTGAAGAATAAGCTGGAAACAAACTCTGTAGTTGAGGTAAATGAATAGTGGGACGAGTTTGTAGACTTTTTTATTTGGTTACTATTTAAGCTCTCTTTGTTCCTACTGTTTCATCTGTCATAATTTTTCGGTTTTCATTTTTTCTTGCAGCTTTATTATCAGATTGAACCAGAACTAGGGAAAGAATCAACCAGATTGAAAGCAATTGTAGATCTTTTTGATGAAATTGTTGAAGAACCACTTTTTAATCAGCTAAGGCATGATGAATCTGAAACTATTAAAAGTATCTTAGTTTATTTTACAAATTCTGAGGTCCTACTGTATACTTATCTCTCAGTGTACATTTTTTTTTTTCTTTCTTTCTTGTGCGCGCGTCACTCTCTCACTCTCTGTGGTCATCCATCTCATTTATAGGTTACTTTTACGCAAATAGCTTCTATATGGATCTTATTGAGTTAATTGAATTGTTTTTGTTTGATTAATTCTTAAAATATTTCATTTATGTGTTAATATAGGACAAAAGAGCAGCTGGGTTATGTTGTTGATTGTAGCCCACGAGTAACATACCGCATATTAGGGTTCTGTTTCCGTGTTCAATCTTCCGAGTACAATCCAGTCTACTTGCAGGGAAGAATAGATAACTTCATAAATGGCCTAAAAGAGTTGTTGGTAAGCATCAAATTTAATATGCGTTTTTATCTTTTCGTAATTGCTGTTAAATTTTAGTGTGATTCTTCATGTAGTCTTTATAAGTATGCATTTTGTATTATTTAGTAAGAAGGTTTTGCAGTGTCCATGGTTAGAATATGAGTAATCATTGCAGCAGCAAAATGTATGCATGGGCAACTGCAAACTCGGATGACTTATGAGGCACGAGTTTAACCAAGTGATCATTCTTCCATATGGGATATGACTTATGGTTCAGTTGGATGATCCTGAATATTTATCTAATTTGGCAGTCAGATATAATGTTTTTTTTTTTTGTTGGTTACAGTTTCACCCATTTGATGGTACCTCAGAGCACACTCCGGTGTAGTATGCTAGATTAATTAACAGGAAACCATTATTTTATTATTCTACTTGATACAGTGCCTTGATTTCTCTTTTTCAACTTCTGTTTTTGGATACCTTATAAATATTACTGTATCACAGAAGAATAACAGGGTGGGTGGAGTCCTTTATCTTTCAAATTAATGCACTTTTATATTGTTAATATATGTTGCACAAGCATTTATACAGGAACTTTTTTGGCATTGCAGGATGGACTTGATGATGAATCCTTCGAGAATTACAGAAGTGGGTTAATTGCAAAGCTTCTGGAGAAAGATCCATCTCTCTCATATGAAACAAATCGATTGTGGGGTCAAATTGTAGATAGAAGGTCGTACTCATATGCTTCTTGTTGATGTCTAGGAATTTACTTCCTTAATTGGACAGAAAGGAGTAGTTTTCCAACTTTTAGTGATGACTTGTAGAAAGCCAACAAACAAGCTATTGCGGTTCCAGAGCTTTAATAAAGTGATTGGGACTGTCACAAATCTAGTCTTTCTTTCTTTTTTAGGGTTATGTACGGGTTAATTATTTAGTTTATTGAACTATGAAGGTGTTGGTAATTCCTATTATATTGAAGGGACCATCAGTTGGAGCCTTCCTTGAATAAAATAATTGAGGCACTTGGAATAATAATGACCATTAAAATATAAAAACTTCTGTTTTATTACACTGATGGTCATATAACTTACACTTCTTCAGGTATATGTTTGACTTGTCTGAGAAGGAGGCAGAGGAACTTAGGAATATCCAGAAGAGTGATGTTACCGATTGGTATAGTACTTATTTGAGACAATCATCTCCGAGGTGTCGGAGGCTTGCAGTTCGTGTTTGGGGTTGCAAAACTGACTGGAAAGAAGCCGACACACAAGTGACATCGGTGCAGGTCATCGATGATCTTGCAGCCTTCAAGATGTCATCTAAGTTCTATCCAGGCTTTTGTTGATCTTGCAGCCTTCAATATGTCATCTAAGTTCTATCCAAGCATTTGTTCAGAACCATTGCAGGCCTGAGTTTCGAGCCCAGGAAGTAGGTGGGAATGTGGGATTATTATTTTTTTATTTACCTCTAGAACTTGCTACAAATCCAAGAACAAGAATAAAAGGAAAAAATTAGATTAATTTGCTTAACAATAATAATAGTTTTTCTTTATTGATGTATCATCAATAAGATACTATAGATCGTAATTGTCTTCGTAAGAGGTTCACTAATGCTTCGAGGGGGTGCTTCCTAAATTGTTTGGCAGATAAAATTAGCTCAGAAGGCGTTATTCTCCGGGTGCAGATGCTCTCTATGAAGAAAAATTAGAAAGCCCCATTTTCTTCTGTCCAGAAATTAGAAGAGAGTAGGAAATTAATTTCCCACTTCCTCCAATATGCTGCAGCTGCTTCTCAGGTTTGACCCCCTCTTATTCGAGAACTGCTATTGTAATTCTTATTTATCGCTGTTCTTGTTTGTAACAGTTTGCAATTGATTGATTTTATTGACACAATAAGACCTATAGCCATGCATTTATAACAATTGATTGATTTTTTCACTATGATTTGTTTCTTGGCGAGTGAGCTGTTTGGACATGGAATATTATGCTTCTTAAAAGCAGAGGTGCTTTGTTTTACAGATCTATATTGTTATAATTTTTCACGATATTTGGTTTTCTTGGTTTGTTAGGTGTTTGGACACGGAATATTATGCTTGTTGAAACCAGAATAGCTTTATGGTCATTCTTAGGATGTCTCTAATGTAATATCTAGGCAATTGAAGGCAATTATCGAAACAGTTATGTACGAGAACTCGGTATAAAAAAAAAAATGCTTGATTTCAGATGAATTTCTTTTGTAGTCATAAATAAATTGCTTAACTGATGCAGCAAATAACAAATATGGCTGTAGGTTTGGTTTGGGTTGTAGCCAATCGACCCATTCTGGTGATGGGGACAGGTTAGACCATAATTCAGAATCACCAACCATTCTGCGTTGCATAAATGGAAAACTTACTTTCACATATTGAAATTCGTGGCTCAACTACCAGTTTAAAACAAATGAGAAAGTGATTGGAAACCATTTCTAGAGTGGGGTTATATTGCATACTTCTGAACCTTCTATTTTTGGAAATTACTCTTTTGATTCATTGAATTTGAAGGGTTGGGGTTTCTCTGTAAAGCAAACTAGTTTCTCAAGTAGCCTCATATACCTGATCATGAAAAAGGGCTTATTTTTCAATAAGATGCACATGGTAGGGTTTTAGTCTGGTCCATGTGATTTTAATTGCATGTTAATTTGTTTGTCATTTCAATCTTTCAGTGGCAAACACACAGATCTTGATCTTTAGGATATGATGGATACTCACAACTTAAACTTGTTTGCGTTGGGACAGCCTGGTTTAACTAGAGCCATTATTGACGACTTTAGCTTTGGTATTTCTTTCTTTTTTTTCAATATCTTTTACCATTGTTTTTAATGTTTTGGGACAGTATTCTTCTCTTCATGTGGTTTGTGAATGAGGCTATGGCCGACGGCGAGTAGTTGGAAAAATAAGTGCATGTATTATTATAGTCGTGGACAATCCATTGGTTCTGATCCGGCAACAAGAAGTAAATAGGTGACCTATTATTGCCTCTTTAATGTACAGAACCTAGTAAAAGAATGTTCAAGTATTATTATGTGCTTCTTATGGTCACGTAATTGTATGGTTCCATCATTGAAAAGGGGTGTACACTTTCAAATTAACTATATGTATGTATATGTGGGTGATGTATGAAAACTTTTCATATCCATATAAAGGGAATGGTGGGCCATTGGTTGGGGAGAGGATACAAGAAGATATGTCTAGATTTCGGCAGAATTACGAGACATCGCTATCTCTCTCGATCCAAACAAATAACCATACCAAGTTGTCACACACAAGAGGTTCCCTGTTTTTTTTGTTCTTTTAGTCTCACGAATAAAGAGGGTTTCTAAGTTGACCATAACATAACATGTGTACATATATTTATTATGTGACCCTTATTGAGAGTGCCATCTTCCAGACAGGCCACAAGCAATTCAGTTCAAGTGTTCTTTCCTTTCTTTAAATAGCAACATCAACTATACCAATAATTGATAATAATAATTGTCCTCCAATGAATTTTACAATTTGAGTTTTATTGAAATCTAATTGATGAAACAGATCAAAATCATATAATAAAACCTATTCAAAGTAATAAGATCTTAATGCGATCTTGTTAGAAAGATATGTCACGTGCATCAGAGATTGTTCGTCTTTCTCGTGCAATTTCGAAAAGCTGATACTTACATATATAATAAGTAATAATATAAATACCGTGTATGTGGGATATATATCTACAAACAAAACCTCCAAACCCATATTCCCTCTATTCAATGTCAGACAAGAACCGATTCCTACCTAATTGTTGCGTTAAAAATATATATATATATATATATATATATATAACAAAAAATTTGAACAGGATGTGTTTGATTAGAGTTCATTTCTATGTAACCGACCGTACAGATAGTGACCTGAAGATAACATTTCTTGTCTTTTTCGGAGTCATTTTTGATATACTGCTTCTTTAAAATTATGAAAGTGATGATGACTTGTGCAATTATAAATATATACTATACTACTATATAGTATATGGTATATTATGGACCTCCAAAGCCGGAACTCCCATGTGCTGCTAACATGGTGGGACCAACTTCAGTTTCAGCCTCAAGACGGTGATCCAGCACCCTTTTTGCTTACCATTTTCCATGTTAATTTCGATTTTCTTGTTAATTCCTCCTATTTTTAAGTATGGAAAGCTTTTATCTATATAATATATGCTTATATATATATATATATGTTTTGAGAGAGAGAGTGAAAAAAAGAAGTGATTGTTTACTAATAACAATGAATTGGATTAACAAATCTCCTATCAGGTTAAATGATCCTAGCGGGTGAAACGAACACCTGTTAACATTGTTTTACTCACACTAGCTAGCCGCTACTATGTGAAATGATTCCAACTCTCGAATGGCAGTAAAAGCTAGCTAGGTTCAGGGAAACAAACCATGCGTCGGTGTAGCTAGTAGCTACTACCTATATGATGATGCTTTTATAGATGGAGGAAGAATTTCATTTATTATCAGCCACACGTTTGCTTATATATATATTCACACACACACAAGTTATTAATTTAATTAGAAATATATAATCAATAGAACGAGGACAAAGATACATCTCCAAACCATTCTTGGCTACACCTAACAACAAATAATACAAATTATCAATAGAATATTTCGAGTCCTTTGACATAAAAAAAAGGAAAAAAAAAATCGAATATTTCGAGTCTTCGTAAGTAGACAAGTAGTAGTTGTGTATGTGAATTGGTTTTAACTTTTAAGAGTGTCTCATCTCCTAAAAGAATATTGTGATTTAAATTATATATCAACTTGCATAAAACCCTGTATAACTAATGAAATCATATGCTAGTAACACCAATTCCATTGCTATTCGCATGAAATATTATCTCAAAACCTCAATGATGACCTAAATTATATGTGTGTGTATATATATATATATATTTTAAATTTTATTAGAAGGGTATTTATACCATAAAAGATCTTTACAAAATGTATTCATTCGTATTAATCATCGTATATGCCGACAAGAGACTTATAATTTGATTTATAATTTTTTTTTAAAGGTCCAATATCATTACACATCAATATAAATCAATTAAATCGATGAATTTATACTGATATTCGTTCAAATCTCCACATCCACAACTGCCAACAACCATGTAACAATCTTATTGGGTAAACAATTGCACCGAATAACAGAAACCCGTGATTCAGGAATCTATAATTAAGAGTGACACGTCATTACTGGCCCACCTGACACCTCTGACTATATGCATTCCAAACAGTGGACATCAGCCTCAACTAAATAATGCAAAGCCGGTCATCGCCATGTGGCCCAACATCCAAACAAAACCAGACATATCACCCTTGTTGTCAGCCATGCCCATCCCCAGACATCCCAAATCCAAATCTCTGATCACACCAATTTTTGGAGGTTGTGAATAGGAATCAAAATATGTTTCCAATCATCTGCATTTCGGTGGACAATGAAGAAACAATGGGCAGTTGTTTAAAAATGTTCTGATTTGATAAAAAAATTGAAAAACACACACACACATTTGTGCAGACTTAACAACTAGGATAAGGAGACGTCTTTTTTCATGTTTTAAGGGTTGCTGAAGATAAGCTTGCTCCAATCTATGAATGAAGTTTGTAAGAGAAAGTCATTGCTTGCTACATATAGATTAGAAATAGAAAATGGTGTTAGAAAACAAATATACCAAGTTACTATACCTAACAGCTTTTTGACATCTTCAAATCATAAAACTAACTACTTAGATTTGTATATAGAGGAGTGCTTCACACAACGAACTTGTACAACATTGCATGGATGAGGTTGGTCTCAGGCAAGCCCACTATGCCACCCACCTCATCACACACACACACACATATTGTCAAACACCAATAAATTGCAGTCAAAATTAAATGGCATATGATTTGAGTCTACAGGAACAAACTTATAGGAAGCTTTCCATTAATGGTTTCGTTATTGATTAAAGAAAGGAAAAATTACATATAAATGGAGTCAAAATTTCATATTTACTTAGAGACGGAGTCAAAGTTCCATATTTCTCTAAAATGGATTGCTGAGGTGGCACATGATTTTTTACTGTTTAAAAAATTGTGATGCCTAAAATGCCCTTCCCTAATAAAAAAGTAGTACCTTCAGTTCAAAAAAGTAGTACCTTCAGTTCAAAAAAGTAATACCTTCGGAGAAAAAGTAGTACCTTCGCGAGTGTTTAAAAAACATGGTACCTGAACGCCAAAAAGTAGTACCTTCAGTTCAAAAAAGTAGTACCTTCGAAGAAAAAGTAGTACCTTCGCGGAAGGGTATTTTAGGCATCACAATTTCTAAACAGTAAAAACCATGTGCCACCTCAGCAATCCATTTTAGAGAAATATAGAACTTTGACTCAGCCTCTAAATAAATATGGAACTTTAACTCCATTTATATGTAATTTTCCCTTAAAGAAAGGCACAGTGCCAAGGGGCATCTTGTGTTTTTAATTCAAAGGATTCCCTACACAGCAAATGCAACGACACTAACATTTACAAATGCAAAGATACTAAATTACTAATGTTTACAAATCCTTCTCTCTTCTTCACATAAAAAAGGTGCAAATTCAACTTTTTCACCGCCATTAACCAAAGGGGATGCACTCTTAACGGCACAAAAAGGTTGTATTAGTTTAGTATAAAGTTATAAGAAGAGGTTGAGAAGTGCATGTGGAGTAGTAGGACCCACGGACTTAGCGGTTGGTAGCCAACCAGAACAAATGCATGTGCAGGTTGATTTGCTTTGCTCAATTTCTCGAACCGCCCTCGTGGGCTTGGGCAGGCTTTTATCCCAGCTTGTGTCACTGTGTGTTCATGTGTGTTAGTTACGCAGCTCCTCTATAAGTAGGCACCTTCCTCTTCCTCGCCAAAACCATCCTACTACTACTACACAAACCACACTTTCAATCGCTCCTCTTCTAAGCTCCTCTCTTCCTAAAAAGGCTCAAATCCTTGAAATGGCCGCTAGAATTTTATCGCCTGCTTGCCTACTTTTCTTCATTCTCTGCCACCTACACTTGCATGGTACTTCGGCTGATTACGGAGGTTGGCAGAGCGCTCACGCCACTTTCTATGGTGGCGGAGACGCATCAGGAACAATGGGTAAGTCCATTTTGGTACAAAATTGCACCATGTCCTTACTTTAATGGTACCCCATTGCTTGTGCTATGCATGCTATGTTTTTCTTTCGTTTTAAGAAAATGTCCTACTTACAATGCCTAAAGAGTAATCAATTTGTACAGGCTTGCTTATTGTAATTGTAGAGGATATAAACCTTAATACCTTATAAATCCTACTACTAACTTTTCCTTTTTGTTTAATTTGATATGGGAATTGTTTTTTATAGAGGGTTTTTGGATTTTGCAGGAGGTGCATGTGGGTATGGAAATTTGTACAGTCAAGGGTATGGGACAAACACTGCAGCACTAAGCACAGCCTTGTTCAACAATGGCCTAACCTGCGGGGCATGTTACGAGATGCGTTGCGACAACGATCCCAGATGGTGCAAGGGAGGCATCATCACCGTCACTGCCACAAACTTTTGCCCACCTAACTTTGCTCAGCCAAACGACAACGGTGGCTGGTGCAATCCCCCCCTCCAGCACTTTGACCTGGCAGAGCCTGCTTTCTTGCAAATTGCTCAATACCGTGCCGGAATTGTGCCCGTGGCTTTCAGAAGGTAGAATTATAGTAGCAATTGTAATAGTTTTGCTCTGCTTCGCCAAAAGCAGCTTATGTCTTGTGATTTCACTTTTTATATATAGACACATAATATGTACATGTATATATTATGATGACTATAATGTATTTGTATGGTTTTTGGCAGAGTGCCTTGTGTAAAGAAAGGAGGAATACGATTCACCATCAATGGGCACTCCTACTTCAACCTGGTTCTGATCAGCAATGTTGCAGGGGCAGGGGATGTTCATTCGGTGAAAATCAAGGGGTCGAGAACAGGGTGGCAAGCTATGTCAAGAAACTGGGGCCAGAATTGGCAGAGCAATTCATACCTCAATGGCCAAACCCTGTCCTTTCAAGTAACAACCAGTGACGGTAGAACCGTGACAAGCTACAACGCGGTCCCGGGAAATTGGCAGTTTGGCCAGACTTTCCAAGGGGGTCAGTTCTAAAGCTCTAGAGTGATGGATTTTCAATCCAAGGTATTGATCATTTGAGACAAAATATGTACATTTAAATTTCAATTTTACACTTGTATAAGCAGGAGTGGGTAGTACAAATCTGGGGAAAGTAGCCTTCTATAGCCGAGGTAGCTAAGTAGCACCCGCTGGGCTTTTCATGCTAGTGTTATTGTTGCCACTGATAGCTTGAGATTATATGCAATAATGGATTCAAAGTGTTATATAGTTTCAGATACATTCTAAATTTAACGAGTGTTGAAAAGTGGCTGAACATAGAGGGACCTATCTCATGAAATGGTCAGGTACCAACTTCCTCCTAATTAAGGGCAGTCCTCACAAGAATCTTCTCGGTCCCAAATTTTCATAAAAGAAAGTTAACGAATATATCGGGAAAACATAAGAAAACCTGATGAATGCTATGTGAATCACAATCTGAAATGAAGTAATAACCAATGCAAAAATCAAAGCATGACTCGAAGACAATTATGAATAGAACAGGAACAAGTTTTTTACCATTAAAGAACCAGTGCAAATTCCAGCAAACTTGAAGGAACCTGTTGGTATTATAAATTTATACTCTCTCTTATAAAAAAAATAGAAACGCGAGATTATGAACAAACGAAATGGCATCTCTGTCATCTGGGTCCTAATTACAGGATACAAGCATGTAATAGAAGGCCAAAAAAGGCCGAAAAGGGTTCAGAAACATTGCCTAAATACCATCTTTTTAAAACATAAAAACTCCAAATTTTAAAATGTGTCACTCTCTAACGCCAAAAGTATTCTCGCGTTTTACTCTAGACACCATTTTGACTCCTCATTGAAACCACCATACATAATCCAACTTTACGAGCACATCTGCTTCTATTGAGTATTACCACATCCAAAAAATGATCTAAAAGGGACAGATTGATTGCAATATATAGCAAATATCATATATATATATATATATATATAAATATGTATACAAACACATCAAATTGTACAAAAAGAAAAACAACACTCACGCACGCACAAAAAAAAATGACGAAATACCAACTCTAACGCAATATAGCTAACAGCAATACTAACATTAGATGATAAACAATTGGTACAACAAAATATACGAGAAATTATGATAAACAATTGGTACAACAAAATTTACGAGAAATAGCATTGGATAATAATATGCGACTTCTTTTTTATCTGATTATAGAATGTGATTGTTACCGCACTCGACACCCTGTATCCGCCGTTGTTCCTAGCTTGACAAACGCATAACCGAATTCCATTCTTCGCCTTCCCTCTAAGCCTCTGTTTGGGTGAGTGAGTTGAGAAGTAAAGGAGGGGAATGGAAATGGAGGAACTCGCTTTTGAGTTCAAATTGTGCAGGAAAAATGGACAAAGGCCATCTTTGTAAAGTGGAAAAGAAAAGAAAGAAGTGAAAGAAACTATAAGTTGAAAGAGATCGTGTTACGTCGGCCATGAAATCAGATTGGTTAATGCCTGCGAAACAAGTTTACAAATCCTAATAATGTTCACGCCTATACAAATCTTTATGTGTATAGACATGAATCTCTGTAAAGATACTGTATGAAAAACACGATAGAGCAATTCATCATGCAAATCCTTGTTTTAAACTAATCAGACGATAACCATCATCAACTTCTCACAACCATTTTGTTGTGTCAGATACGGTGGATTAGAACATAAATGTATTTTGGCAATATAGGCCACACACGTGTTATAAATACACCTGTCTAACAAGAAGGGCATTAGTTAGTAAAAATAAATAAATAAATAATTAAGAAAAGAAAATGACATGCTGTTTGATTGATTTAAATTATTATTATTATTATTATTATTTTTTTTTTTTTCAAATGTTTGATTGACCAACAAAGTATAAGAGATGAAATGATTGTAATTATACGAAAATAAAGGAAATAATCCTATTTTAATAAATTTTATCTTTTATAAAATAAAATAAATAGAAAAATACTGTATTAATAAATTTTCTTTTAAATTACTAGTAATTTCTTCTATTTCTTTCCATTTTGGGATAACAAAAACTACTATTTAGGTATATATACCTCTATTTTTTTTTTTTTTTTTACTTTTTTTTTTTTTTTTCTTTTCAACATTTTATACCAAACACATCATTCTTTTCTTTTTCTTTCATTGTACCAACTACCAAACTGACCTTAAAAGAATGATTTGGATAACTTGGGGTTGTTTGGGTCGTTTTTTTATTATAATATTTTTTTGTAACTAAAAAATTATCTAAATATTATAGTTAAGTGATATCTCTTCTTAGAATAATGAGAAATATTTATTTTAAAAATAATTATCTTGTATGCTTTCTAGAATCAATTAATTTTATAATACACGAAGTAAGTACTAGTGCTGTCATGCCGGAGTCAAACTTAGATTTGAGTTTTGTTGCTTTCACCCGTAGACCCAAACTTGGATTGGAGTTTTGTTCCTTTCATTATTAAGGATGCTCTAGATTCTGATTTGTGTTCTGTGTCTTAGTCTTGTCTCTATTATTAGTCTATTGTCATGTTAAAAAAAAAATGTATATAAATAAATTTAACCTACCTCAATATTTTTCTAAATTGTATATCTCATTAAAATATAAAAGTTAAAATTTTGCCATTATACTTTCATCTCTTTTATGTCTCTGCATGAGTTAATCTTATTAAGCGGGTTTTTTTTTTTTCATACATGATAAAAATATTACATTTTTCTTTCAATTTTTCTCATTAATTATAACTATTTTTTTTTCCCTCTCAGTCGTATTTATTCAAACGAACCGATGGAAAGGGAGAGAGAAGAGGAGCCTAAATAATTTAAGATTTGTTTTTCTAAAGGCTGAAGGAAAATAAAATAAAAAATAAAAAAACTACAATGATAATAATAACTATAATGTTTTCTCCATCCCTTATTAGATTGGATGTTGACCAGTGACTTTGATGCTATGTTTGGTAAGAAGGATGGGAAAGGTGAGAAGGGAAAATAGAATGGCTAAAACAAAAAAAACCTTTGTTCGGTGTAAATGATTTAAGGAAAAGAGGAAAGATGACTCATTCTTTCTCCTTTATAAATTATCATCAGTAAAAAAATGGACGTTAAAAATGACAAAAAACCTAAGTCACACAGAGTTGGAGCAAGTGCAAATGTGAAAGCATCAAAGTCTAAATTTTTTTAAAGCGGGAGCGTTTTGAGAACTTCTATATATTAGGTTTAAATAAAATTATATCAATTCATGACATATATATTTTATATTTATTTATTTATTTAAATCCATGTACAAATATATTCATTATTATTTATTCCATTAATGATATAGGTAACAAATAAGCTAACTTTTTTTCACGAATAGATGCGTGATTTTTATATATATATATATATATATATATATATATATATGTGGTAGTATAGCAATGTCATACAAGCGTGGCACACGTGAAATTTAAGTAATTAATATATATATTGAGTAATAGTGTAAGTAATAAATGCACATATGGTAATATAGGTCTTCCATATCACTAGGACTCTTTCAAATTTAAATTTAGTTATATAAAGTAAATTCGTATGAAAATCGTGAATAAGGAAAACAAATTCACGAGTTGCAAAAATTGAATTTGTGGAATTTATGTGAATTCGCTCCCAAATTGCAAATTCGGCGTGTGGAGCTTGAGAGCGGAGCCTTTTTGAACGAATTGTGTAACGAAGGGAAAGACAAATGAACTATTATAAAAATTTTCAATTAAATACTATCCTAAATTATACAAGTTTTAAATTACAGTCATATTCTTTACAAATTATAATATTATAAATATTATTAGATATAATAATAAAAATAATTAAAATTTTTTAACATAATAAATTATGAGCTTATTATATTCTCTTTTATTCAACCGAATAAAAAGAAGAAAATATATAATTTTTTCTTTAAAAATGTCTTATCCATCTCTTTTCCTCTCTATTCCATTTAAATTTTTTTATTTCCTACCGAACGGAGCAGGAGACTAAGACATGAACATTTTAATCAAAACCCAAGTTTAAAAAACACAAAAAAAAAAATTACAATCCTACATGGATAGAAAATGGAGTGTATTATTATATTATAAATAAATCTGAATAACGGTGTACATTAAACTAGGCCACCAAGTGTTAAAAAGGTGAATCGAACAATTTCTCATATTAGCCAATCATCTTCGAACACTCGTCACGCTAGCTGGGCTAGCGCCCATGTAATCTCGCTCTCATCATCTACAGTAATTTCTCTTTATAGAAAAATTACTTGCAGTATATTCATATCCGGTACTGGTAAGTGGTAAGAGCCCACGTTATTCCGGTGATTTACAAGAAGCCAACAGAAGAGAACACACCCGCGAGACTGTTAAGTAAAAGGGCCATCTCTAAAGATATTTCATATATAACCCACATTCGCCGGCATGAAATAAGCATGAACCACCAGAAAAGTCAAATTATTTCTTCAATTAATTACCCCCATTCTTCTTCTACTCAATTTCACTGATCCACTGTCCAACACAACACAAAGGATTTCACTGATCTATCATCCTCATAGCCACAGGTCTCTCTCTATATACACATATATGCACATATCTCTTTCTATGTATATATTTATATACATATGTATTGTAGATGTTAGATGTATGTATATATACACACTGTTTCTTCATCAAAAGTAGCAGATCTAGGGTTTTGGAATGCTTGAACTTGTCCAAATCTTCTTCGTTTGAATGTTGCTCGCTTTGGTTTTGATTGTGGTTTATATTTGCAGTTGAGCTGGCTGGTGTCTTATTTCTGTCTAATTTTGGGTAAATTATATGAATGGGGTATGATTTGTATACTTGTATGATTTATTAGTAACTTGATTACTACTAGAATTGTTGGATGTGCGGTCTGCGAGGAGTAGAATTCGAGATCGAGGCTGAGCGATTGAAGCGGAGTGAAGATGAGTGAGAGCCAGCGGTTTCAGCTGGGAACTGTTGGAGCATTGAGTTTGTCTGTGGTTTCGTCGGTGTCCATCGTGATTTGCAACAAGGCGCTTATTAGCACACTTGGTTTCACTTTTGGTGAGTCCTCATTCACTTCAGCTGTACAAATATAGCTAGGTTTATGGTTCAGTTTCTCCTCTCTCTCTTTTAATAATTTGGTGTTTCAACTTGTAACTTTTTCTGTCATTTCGATATGATTGATTTGGTGTTGTTTATTTACATCAATATGCAACAATGTCTGCAAAAAAAAAAAAATCAGTCTTTAGTGTATTAGAATTTGGATTTCAAACTAAAATGAAATTAATTGTGGTTATTAGATAGAATTTGGATAATGAAATCTTTAGTTTCATTATTCCAAGTGTAAAAAGGATATGAGTACCTTCACGAGAAAGTGAGGAAAAGATTGGCATTTGTTATCAACTTAATACACATCTAACTTTTTATGGCTGACGGTACATCTATCAGTTTTAATTCTTATGTGCAATGTGGTCAGGCTAATTAATGCTTTGTTGACTTAAATGAGATTGTTTTAATCACGTTAGAAATGTAAAATTCCAATTACAGTTATTGTTTATGATAAGTACGGTGCCTTGCAAAAACTAAGCCTTTGGTTTATTTATTATTCAAGAAATGTGTTTGGTAGTAATTCCCGTTGTTTCAATCACCTTGAGCTTGTTACTAACATTATGACGTTGAAGCTTGAACATTAGAACCTTCATTATGGCTGTATCTCGTTGAAAATGGTCTTTCATTCCATTAACTTCTTTTCATTTTTCTATATGTGGTGCTTCATTTGCTTTGCTATTTCTCTACTACTGCTGCAAAATACCAAGATCTCGTAGTTTCAGCAAGCTGTGTTATGTGTATACTGTCAGTTTTATGTAAGAGGGTGGGTAATTAACATGTTTCTCAATTGACCTATATATCTTTTTATGATGATGGTGCTTTTATGTATCATGATGCAACACCCTCACCACAATGGCAATTCCTACCAATTCTACCTCAGGTGGTTTTTCGTGCTTCTTTTTTAGAAGAAGGTACAAGGAACCTAGTAGAGGGACATCAGTTAAAGGTTTTATAGATAAGGTGAGGACCATGCCCAGCTATTAGGCCACACTGTTGGACAAGGGGAAAAAATGTGGCTGGTCTCTCATTTGATGTCATTCAGCATAGAGATTGGGAAGGAGAGGGCCAATGACTATTCAATTCTCCTCAAATGGTTGATTTGATTACCTTTTCTGTACCCACGTGAAAAAATGCTAGTCTTGCTCTCCTTCAGTGATATTTCGCTTAAGCAAGTTTAGTAGTATATTTGTTGGCATAAAGACAAGCATCGTGTTTCAAAATGGACAGGTGTGGTCGGCTGCAGCAACTGCAATGAACCTAGAGAGTTGGAGATATATGTGTGTGATTTGACTTTATTAATCATATTTGTTTATTAAGTTTATATTTAGGTATTTGCTGACTTGAAGTTGCAGGAGAACCATAAAAAATAAATATGAAAAATATTACTGTACAATAAGTTTGCTGACAAAATTCATAATGGCTTTATCCAGGAAAGTAAAGATAGACGTTTTCTATAAGTGATCAATAATTATTTGACTAGGCAGCATGGGTGTTGATCCACAAGTGTCAGACAATTATTTCTGTACAATAAGTTTCTTGACAAAAATACATAATATTCTTCATACTTTTGTACTCCTTTTAAGAGAAATAAAGGTGGATTTTTCCTAAGTGATCAAACAATGGCAGTCTCGGCAGATATAGGTGTCGTATTCACAAGTGTCAACCATGCTGATTCTCAATAAAGATAGGTGTCCTACATGTCACTGATTAATGTTCGTTAGCCATTGGCCTTTGTCATGTGAGACCTGCGTTGTATGTAGATACTACTATTCGAAACTTAAAACATTAAATATCACAGCTTTAATTGTATGCTTATTTTTTGTTGTATTGATATGCATGTATTGAATATTTTTTAGGTTAGTTTAAAAATGTCATTAATAATATTGTCAAACTAGAGTTAATTCTTAGTCGTCCAAATTTTAAAGCTGGCTCACTTATTATACCTCTCCCTACTACAAAATATTTATAGCATTTATTGCATATATAATCTCTCGAGTTGTGGATTCAACCATAAAGTCTAGAAGATTAGAGGCAAAGAGAAGGTTATTGATTACAATGCAGTTGTGACTTTGGAATTCCCTTATAGCTAGAATTTGATACTACTTATTCACATGCATGGACCTTGATTTAGTTTGTGTTTGGTTTTTAGCACGTTTTGGCAAATTGATTCAGACACACAATATTCCTACGTCTTTTTCGTGCACCATGGCATCGATATGACATATGCTTCATTGTGCTTTCTAGTGAAAACAATAAGATCACAAAGTCATGGTTCTTAGGTGCTGTTTGATAGTATTGAAAGTTGTGAAAAATTCAGTGCTGAAAATTTTAAGCAGCTGAAATTTTTAATTAAAAATGTAAGGATCAGTTAGTAAAGTATAAATTCTAAAACCACCTTTCACTGAAAATGTTTAGCATTCAATTAAAATCAAGGTCCTTTTTAAGTGACAGCTACTTTTTTTGTTATCAAAGCACACTTAAATTGAGGAACCACTGGAAGTTTTCAGTTTTTAGCACTTAACAGCATTACTAAACAATCCCTTAGTAATTTTAATATTACCTAATCAATGAAGGAAATCTATGACACTTATCAAAAAAAAAAAAAAATGAAGGAAATCTATGACAAATTAATCAAAGGTCCCTCACTAGAATTTGGTAGTCTCGCAGAAGTGCAAGCCCCTGTCTATCCATTTGACAGTGCAATGGACTAGGATCTTCCAACTGCTACCATTCATTTGAATGTGTTGGCCAAACAACTATTCGGTTATTAAATAATAGTCATATCCGTATTGATACTAAACATGTGTAATTCCTTGGAGCTTTATTAAATTAAGAGAAAAACTTAGTGGAATCTTTCTGCAAAATGTGGTGGTGAGTTAAACATGTTTTTTGCTACTTACTCAATAAACATGGATCATCTACCATTGCTTAAAACTAATAAATGGATACAAGTTTACATTACAAGGATCATTTACCAATTACCAGTGGTTAAAAGTTGAAAATAATAAATAGATATAAGTTTACATGATACACCATGCTTGTATTATGCAAAAGAAAAATTTGAAGACATCCTATTTTTATTTGAAGAGATTCTATTTTCTTGTGGATGAACTCATTTTAGTACAACATGCTACAGATCATCATAGTTTATTTGATTGTCTAGAGCCATCGAAATATAAGTTTTGAGTTGGGAAATTATTGATTCATTTCTAGGTCATTGAGTACAACCTTATTCTTTATTTTTTTTATTTTCTTAAATTCTGCGACTTTTTAAAGTGTTGGCATATGACTATATTTGTTGCTTTATGGTTGCTTAGTAATCATAGATCTGGATGACTTGCCATAAGACTAAACTTCCCATTGCTTGATATTGCTTAAACATTTTGTTCTGACTTCCCATATTGGACGTCTCAGCTACAACCTTGACAAGCTGGCATCTTCTGGTCACATTCTGTTCTCTTCATGTGGCAGTATGGATGAAATTGTTTGAGCACAAGCCTTTCGATCCAAAAGCTGTAATGGGTTTTGGCATACTGAATGGGACATCTATTGGACTTTTGAATCTTAGCTTAGGTTTCAACTCTGTTGGTTTCTACCAGGTAAAATTTTTCCTTCCCATTTTGAGTTATGGTTTGAGGTTACTGTTTTGAGTTTTGACCATTTTATCGCATAGACAATTGGATGGTTTTACATGTTGAATTTAGTTTCTATGACAAACCTGATACTTTGCTCATGGGCAATGTTTTATAGGTGATTTTGCATTTCAATTGATTGGTGATTAGTGAGTATATGAAATAATGAAACTGCACACAATTAGAATTTGTGAAAGGCATCTTCAGTGCTATGTGTTATTCTACATCACATTAACAATTCATTTTTCAACTTTCCTCCTAGCAAAAGATAATTCATGTTAAAAAATAGGGATGCGCTCTAAATGACTTTAATAGAGGAAATGATATAATTGCCCCTCAAAATTGGAGTGTGAGATGGGAAGAGTAGCTTTTGGGATAATTGTGGAGTGTAAGAGTGCTTTTGAGGACAAGTATGTCTTTCTTTCCCTCTAAAAACAAAGGAAGTGGAGTGCAATATCATTTCCTAAAAAAGTGGAGTGCAAATATCATTTCCCTGACATATATAGTGAAATTACAACGTCAAAACATCTAGCTGAGATTTTATAAGTTGGTAATGATTTGAAGTCTCCTTTGGTTTGGTGATTCATTAAAGTTTTTTGGATATGTTGTCATAAGATCCTCTCCTATCTTGATTATACAGACAACACGGAGTGAGCACTAAACACAGTTAGGGTAACTACATAATGGAAGTAGACTTTTCTAGAAAAATTGTTTGAATATTCTATTGATGTCAATATTAGAGAATGAAAAGAAACGGGTGTTTTGGCTTTTAAAAAATTGTAATTTCGGTTGTCTCTTTCTGATCTCTTGATTTTGCATGTAGATGACAAAATTGGCAATCATCCCGTGTACAGTACTTTTGGAGACTCTTTTCTTTAGGAAGATTTTCAGGTAAGTTTAATTCCACTCCTTAATTTCTGTTTTATCTACATTCTTCTTCCGATCTTGTGAAGAATTCTCAGTCTAACAAGTGAAGCACCGTGCACCCTCATGTCATGTGCTAGTTTTTTATTTTTCATTCCAAAATCTTTAGCTTATTTAGGTGTACTGTCATGCACAGAGCAATATATTGACCAAGTTATTTAATAAAATTGACATCAATTAAATTCAACTGTGAAGCCTTTTTATAGAATAAACACCGTCATGGCCAACTGATGAGGACTCATTTTAGGGAGTGATTTCAATGGGTTTAGCACTTGTGTTTTATGGCATTATGTTGTTCACTTGTCCTTTTCTTTAATATATCAAGAATGGACTGTGCGCGCTATGCACATGGCATATGTAGTGTCTTAACTTCTGTACAGTCTATAACGAAGATGTGCACACGCATATATCGCGGGCAAACTGGATACTATATTCTTAGTGGCATAAAGACTTGTTTGACGTGCTATCATTGCTAAGCTTCACCTCCTTGTCTCTAGTTTTCTTGTCCTATTTTCATTAGCATGCCGTGCATGTCAGTTGTTGTTGATAAAACTGAATTTTAAGTGCTGAAGTTTTTGAGTGAGACTTAAAAATTGAGATTTTTTTTTGGGTATGTTTTTTGAATTTTAAGTGTTTACTATTCAGTGATAAGTAAGTTATTATCACTTAAATTTTAGCACATTTTAAATGGTGTTTGCCTTTTTAAGTGTGATTCAAATTGCGTTATCAAACACACTTAAATAAACACTTAATCCATTCAGAATTAAGTGCTGGATTGGGTTATCAGACAGTCGCATGAAATCCTTGTCTCATGTCAGTTATCATGCAATCTGAAACTGCTGACAAGAGATGCTTCTTTAGTCTCATCAGACTAATGCTTGAGATCAAGGATTAATGTTAGAGTTTGAGAAGTGAAGTCAACTTGAAGAAGTTAAGGATTGATGTAAGATGCTTCAGCTTCATTGCATTGGCAAACCAGAAGAATTGCAAGCACTGACAAAATAGAGATTAAATATTGTCAATCCCTTCAATCCAACAAAAAATGCTTTGAATAGATGAACACTCAAGCCTACAAATGAGGCTACCATAATGCAAGCACATTCCCCCTAGTTATAAGGAGAAATTATTAGAGATCTTCTGGAGAAATGTCTTTAGATAGATTGATGGGAGCCTCTAGCAGCATTGATGGGTTATAGAGTTCACAGGGTTTTAAAATTTGACATCATCTACTTTGTATAACATCCCAAGCTCTTGAGCCCAGCCCTATTTTTTTCTGTTAATTTAACTTCATTTACTTGTCAAGAGAGGGGGGTATGGGTGAATTTATGAGCAATCAAACTGCAGCTGTCATCTCGTTGCACAAGCAACTTAATTTCAATATTGTAGAGGACTGAAACTGCACCTCTTTATTTTAGACTTTCATATTAGTTTTATTTATTTCATGTATGATCAGGATAATGCTTCGTTGAGTTGAGTTGTATTGTATGTGTAACTGCATCCTTGATAATCATTTTTGTTTTTCCCCCCACTATATTGTGTTTGTTCGATTACAAATGTGTGCTGATACAGTGATACTTCCTTAACTGCCATTAACAGTCGGAATGTTCAGCTTTCACTTACCGTCCTCCTTTTGGGTGTTGGAATTGCAACTGTAACTGATTTGCAGCTCAATGTCCTAGGTTCTGTCCTATCTCTGCTTGCAGTTGTTACAACGTGTGTTGCACAGATTGTATCCTCAGCTGAAGTGGCCTTTTGTTATTACTTTATGTGCTTCCTTTCTTCCACATGTTTCCATGTTGTATTAAAGCAAATAAAATAGTAATACTTTATCATAGAACAAATTCTTGTTTTTTATTTTCCTTTTCCATACTCTACAAACATTAGTGAGGTGGTGTTATCGCGTGTTTGTCCCTCTTGCCAGTAAAATTTCTCTTTTTGGTTCTTTTAAGACCTTAATCAGTTACTCTCAGATGACCAATACCATCCAGAAGAAGTTCAAGGTTTCTTCAACCCAACTCCTGTATCAGTCTTGTCCCTATCAGGCAATCACTTTGTTTCTCACTGGACCTTTCGTAGACGGGCTTTTGACAAATCAGAATGTTTTTGCTTTCAATTATACCCCTCAAGTGCTGGTGAGAATTGAAAGACTGATAAAATGCTGCCCTCCCCAAAAAATTTATAAGACATTATGTTAATTTCTCACTATATTGTCTTGGTTGCAGGCCTTCATTGTTCTGTCCTGCCTGATTTCAGTCTCTGTAAATTTCAGTACCTTTCTGGTGATTGGAAGGACATCTCCAGTTACCTATCAGGTCCTAGGACATCTAAAAACATGCCTAGTTTTGGCCTTCGGCTATGTTTTACTTCATGACCCTTTTAGTTGGCGAAACATTTTAGGAATCCTGATTGCTGTAGTTGGAATGGTACTCTATTCTTATTGTTGCACTCTTGAGAGCCAGCAAAAGGCTAGTGAAGCATCAGTGCAATTGTCCCAGGTATTTCACATTTCTTTTATATTTTCCCTATCGTGTACTCATCATAGGAAGCATGGATACTTCTATAAGGAATTCATATTCGTATAGGGTATTGATATTCAGATACTCGGATTTGTGTCCAAACTTCCTATACGAACACATAATTCAAGAATATCTTTTTCTTTTTATATTGAACAAATTTATGATACTTCTTAAATACTTTAAGGCACATATATGACAAATCTTGAACATTAAATATCAGCAACTTAGGACAATACCGTATCACAATTGTTAAAAGAAGCAAATAAAGGTTTCAAATGGGTACATTTTTCCAAGAAGAACTGAGATAGTGTGAGAATTCATGTCTCCATTCACCACAAAAATAATTTTTTACAAGAGTTTAATATTATAAAATAGGATTACAAAATATTTGATAGATTCACAGAGTACTTGTTCTTCATACATAGATACTTCCTACATATTTTAATTTGTATACATATGTAGGATTATTACATATAAATGGTGTTGATGACTCATATTACAATTTGATAGAGTCAAAGTCTCATAGTTTCAAAAAAATGAAGACATGTAAAAACACTGTTTATCCTCACAGAGGTACCACATTTAGGCACATAGGTACCACTTTTTGTGATGCACAAAAAAGTGGTCCCTGATGCACAAAAAGTGATACCTCTGTGCTTAATAGTGGTACACAGTGTTTTTCTATGTTTACGTTAACATTTTGGTCAATTCCATTTTTTCGAAACTAAGAGACTTTGACTCCATCAAATGGTAAATATGAACCATTAGCGCCATTTATATGTAATAATCCTTATAATATATATACCATTGTGGTCTAGGCATAATTGTATCCTTTTCTTTAATGTTTGCCATTTTAGATTCTTGATTGCCTTTCTGTTAATAGATCTCTCTAAATTTAAAGGGATGTTTTGTTCATCCTCACCCCTTATATCGATATACTAAATTCTTGACTGCCTTTCTATCAAGGATTTACTAATTCTGTCTTTTGAATGTTTCAAGGCAAAGGAAAGTGAATCTGATCCTCTAATAAGTGTGGAAAACGGAGCTAGCATTTTAACCGATGGTGTTGTCTCAAAAGCCCCTGCATGGAATTCAAATAAAGACTTTCAAGCTTGAAGTTTCCTGAAATCTCTATTAATTCGTTCAACCTAGTTCAAATTAGTAGACAAAAAGTTTTCCAGCGATGAAGATTTCGCTGCATGGGACTTTCATAGCACAAGGTGGGATGTTCCTAGATCACTTGTATTCTTGCGGTCACCGGTCACCAGAGCTAAGAATGTGTCTTCTGATATTGCAGTTTCAGTTAGCTTTGTAAGAGAGCTAGGTGTGCCAATAATATGCTTATATACGATGAGGTATTTATTTTTTAATACAGAAGATGTCTCCCTTGCTCTTATCGAGATTTGTTTGTTTTCTGTGAAGAAAATGGAGACATGAAGTTTTGAAGATCAAACTTCATCCATTGTAACGAAATTTGGTCTCTCTTGAGATTGCTTATATCTGTTATATAGCCTATTTATGAGAAACATACAGGTATTCTGAGATTGCTCATGTTTTTGCCAATAGCGAAGAAATGCATCCTTGAATGTTGTTAAAAACTATAGTATCGTCTCTCTATTTGATACTACAAATTGTGCAAAGATCAATGAATTCTTGTTTTAAACAGATTGTGTTTACAGCAGTTTTAGCAAATGAGTAAGTTTGATTAAGCTCCTTGATTCTGTCAAGTTGTGTTTTCAGCGCATTGTTAATCTATAAGCTGGACTTTCCGACCTTTTTCTCGTCTTAAAACTTGACAGTGAAGCGAAATTCAAGGAAGAACCAGGTGATATCATGGATGGTAACGGGTGGAGTTGGGGTGAGTTTGACTAAACCTTATTTTACCTTGGTAGAAAATTATGCCATCTCTGTCCTTATTTTGGCAGACAAAGTACCGACTCCACTCAAAGCACTCCATTTTAATTACGGGGTGGGGTAGGTTATGCCTATTTTATTATTTAGTTCAAAAAAAAAAAAACTAGCCAATGTAATCAAATTGGACTGCGAAATAAGCTGGCCCAACTTATAAATTACAAAAAAGTGTATTAATATATTAAATACACTTTACACAAAGTAACAACTAACAAGGTCTTAAAAATATTATATATATATATATATATATATATATATATTTTAAAAATGTATATAAAATCGGGACGGCTTCGAAGTTTTAATTATTTTATCATACAAGTTCCAAACCTATACAAGTTCCAAACCTATTTAAGAGCTACCAAATTCACCCCATTTGGGACGGAGCTGCTTCCGCCTGATCGAAGGAAATTGCCAGATATGTGAATGCTTCACTTTCAAGTAGTGTGTTTCAGTGTTTCAGATATTGGTTCGGGGAAGAGTAACAAACATGCTTTACTACAGTCAAGAAAAAGAGAGTAATAATTTGGGAAAAAAAATAATAAATGAGGAAAGCTCAGCTGCGCGTGATCTCGTCTTGAATCAGACGATTGTGTGGACCCAGCCAGAGCACATTGAGCGCAGTGTTTCATCACAGCTTATCTCTGAAATTGCACCAGCCGGGAATCGAACCGGGGTCTATACCGTGGCAGGGTACCATTATTCTACCCCTAGACCACTTGTGCTTCGTACTTGGAAAAGATCATCCTAATTTGCTGATAACAATTTCTATTGTTCATTTACTTTCTTTTTTTTTTATATAAAAAAAATCAATCTTATTATCATTTATCATAGAAGGTGTATGTTTTGTTTGTGATTTTTTATTTTTATTATTTAATATGTCTTTAAAAATTTACTACGTAGTAGTAATAATCAAAACATATAATAATACTTGTTAAAGTTGCTGATGCATAAAAAAAAATTTCCAAATTAAAATTGATGTATGGATCAGCCATATCTATTTGAAAAAAAAAAAAAAAAAAAAAAAAAAACTGAATTCAAAAATTAGATTAGTGATTTAAATTTGCATTACAAAAAGTAAGATGAATGATTTTAAAATAAAATAAAATATATTATTTGATTTCAATATTTTAAATATAATTCACAATTTTTGGCCTTAGGTCCCAACCATATTTAGCCCGCCCATCATGAGTCCAGGAAACTAAAATAAAAAAATAATCGAGGAGGAGAAAGCTCAGATGCGCATATTTTCATCTTGAAACCAGATGTAAGTGTGGACCCATCCATCACAGGAAGCGCATGGTTTCATCATAGCCATTCCCTGAGATTGCACCAGCCGGGAATCGAACCCGGGTCTGTACCGTGGCAGGGTACTATTCTACCACTAGACCACTGGTGCATCATATCTGCAAGGTAGGAGACATAAATATACATTCAAGTAGAATGATAGTAGTATTAACTAACCAACAAATACCTTCCGGGAGAAAAAAAACAAAAAACTTGCCAACAACAAAAAATAGTGCTTGACGCTGAAAGAATGTTCAATGATGTTCTCTCAATTGAAAGTCCTGTGGGTTAGGATCAAATAAGTTGTCTTTAGGATCCCAAAAACTATTGGGATAAAAGATATATGGAGTATAAGTAAAATGAGATTTAGGTGGTTGGATAAATTATTTAACTTCATTATTTTTTTATAAATTCAACTCATATTATTTTTCATTATAATTATTTCTTTCTCTCTCTACCTCTCTGTTTAAATTAATCTTTATTTATAGAGTTTTTAAAATTCAATTCTTTGTTGTGAAATAATTTCTCAACTTAACTACAAGGAGTTATTATATTAGTCACAATTCCAAAATAGAAGCATCCCAAATTAAAAAGGAAACTAATTTCTCTATATAAATTTCGAGTCACAAACTCAACAATCTTCACCTTGGCTTGAAATATGTCTTCTTGAGCTCCTCCATAACTCCACCTCCATTAAAGATCTCTCCACCTTGAACTTAACATTTTCTTTTTCCTTATCGTTCTTCGCCATTCCGCCACACTCATTTATTCCTAACAAATTCCAAAATTCAAATAATTGAACCTGGAATTTACCTTCACTTCACTAAATTGAACTCTTCTTGTTTCTAGAATAAAAGTTGGTACTCTTACAATTGTCAAGACTTCTTTTTTCTCTTGTAGCTCTTGATCCTCCAATTTAGTAGATCTTAAAACGGGCTTCCATTCCGTCTTTACAATTGCTCCACCTAGCATATTATTTTCCAACAAAATATAGATATTATTAACATTCCTTTCCAAAAGCATAACAAGTGGTCCTATTATAATTTTCATCAATCCATTCAATCCATTCTTTACTTCACACCAACAATCCTGGGAAGTCAATGCTCCCATAGAGATCACATTCATTCCAAGACTTAAAATATGACATATATTCGTTAGAGTTCTTTCCAAACCACTATTTATGAGGAAACACATGGAAGGAACAAGCAAAATCAAATATTCACTCCTTAACTTCTCCCTTGTTATCAATGATTTATAACACTTCATCATTATCACTCCATTTTTTTGTATCCTTAGACACAGTAGCGAATGTATTCTTCTTTCTTTCCGGAAATACCACTGAATATGCCCCTTTCTCCCACACTTGTAGTATATTTTCTCTGACAATGGCACAAGGTTTTTTGGAGCTACAAATATCTTCTTCTCTTAAGCAATAAGAACTTAAGCCTGAGCATCACGATTTTTCTTCATCATTCAACTTTTCATTAGAGAAACAAAACACTCTTAACTTGTTCCACCGAGATGGTATCTCTCCCATAAAGCAAGGTATTGAATAAATGCTTATGAGTAGAGTGTACCGATGTTAACAAAATAATTATTTTAATATCATCACTTAACTTGATATCAACATTGGATAAATAACAAATAATTTTGTTGAACTCACCAAAACGTTCTTGTAAGCTTACCATTTCTTTTCTCTTAAAGGAATACAACTCTTGCTTCAAGATTAACCGATTAATGAGATTACTTCCCATGTACAAATTTTCCAAGTTCTTCCATACATCCGCTGCTGAATCTTCTTCTATCACATCATACACAATATCATTTGCCAACAAGCCAAAGGCTGAAGTTTCTTCTCCATCAAACTTCTCGATCACATATTTTTCATTTGTAATAGTTGTCGTCATGGCTCTGAAACCACTTGTTAGGATCGCACACACACTATTGGCAAATAAAATATATAAAAACACACACAAGCAAAACGAGATTTACATGGTTCGACAAATTGTCTACTTCCACGAGCGAAGAACGACTATCTTTACTTCAAAATTTGATTACACACTCTTTATCTTCTCAAAAACTCAACTCACCTTTTTTCTCATTATAATTATTTCTTTCTCTCTCTACCTCTCTATCCAAACCGATCTCTATTTATAGAATTTTCAAAATCCAATTCTTTGTTGCACAATAATTTCATAACTTGACTACAAGAAGTTACATTATCAATCGCAATTCTAAAATAAAAGCATCTCGAACGAAAAAGGAAACTAATTTTTCCTTATGAATTTTGGACTAGGAACCTCTACGTTAAAACTTTTCTGCATTATCCTAAGTTGAATCTTAGAAACTTTGACATGTGGCCGGCCTTTATCACAGATCTATGACTTATAATGCACCACATCAGCAAATTAAAAATAAAAAATAAAAACTAGAATTGTTTATGTAACGACCCTCACCCTGGCTAGACACAATATTGTCCGCTTTTGGCTCACCCAGACCAGAGACTTCCCAGGGGGTCACCCATTCTGGTACTACTCCAAGTTAAGCACGCTTAACTACAGAGTTCTGATGGGTTCACGGCTATCACGGCTTTAAAACGCGTTGTTTCATAAAAGGGTGTTGAATCTACATATAGCATTTGCCCCATCCACGGTCGCCACAATCACCCCCCCTTTGGGGCCTAACGTCCTCGTTGGCCACACTTCCGGCTGGGTCAGGCTCTGATACCATTTGTAACGACCCTCACCCTGGCCAGACACAATATTGTCCGCTTTTGGCTCACCCAGACCAGAGACTTCCCAGGGGGTCACCCGTACTACTCCAAGTTAAGCACGCTTAACTACAGAGCTCTGATGGGTTCACGGCCATCACGGCTTTAAAACGCATGGTTTCATAGAAGGGTGTTGAATCTACATATAGCACTTGCCCCATCCACACCCAGACAATGTGGGATTGTGCACCTGTAGCTCGCCCAGTGTGGTAGCCTACTGGTGCCCCCTGCACACGCTTACACACACCCACCCACAAGGTCGCCACAGTTTAACCGATGAATAGAGAAACGTCGTTAACGAATGCTAAAACTTTTTCAACTCTCCATTTTTTCTGGTCTCTTATGCCTGAAACTAGTGGGTTCTTCATTGTTACAAACCTTCTCTCCCTCTTTCTAGTTTGTTCCTTCAGTAATTCTCTCTATGTGTTTATATATATTCTTAAAATTTTGAAAGAATTGAAGTAAATTGGGATTGGTATAGAATTGGTGGTGAAGTTTGCAAATTTGTGATGATCATCGGTGAGTTTTAACCTAATTTTTAATTTAGATTGAATAACTTGCGGTTAAACGGAATCAAATGCAGTTACCGTAATTAACAAATCATATATTCAAAAGAACACACTTGTATCATTGATTTAGATAATAAAGAAATAAAAACAAGAAAAATTGAACAACCTAGCTTTATGTACGGTGGGAGGAAATTGGAAGGAGCAGAGTTCAGGTTTAAACCAAAAAAAAAGAATTAGAATAGAGGGAAGACAATGGAAGGTGAAGAGATCTAAGAATCTAGTTGCATGAGATGAAACGGGAAAAAAATCAAACCAAGAATACTGGTAAAGAGAGGTGGTGGTTAGAAACCTAAAACTGTTTTTCTTCCTCAAAACATTGTCATTTCAAGCATTTTTTATCATTAAATTATGTGGAGCGTTGCCAACCCTAAATTTAGGTGAAATGACACGTGTTAAAACCATAACAATTCAACTTAATATAATGTAGAGAGATTTTAAGTTAGATGATAATAGTGTATGAATTTCTAACCGCAAACCAACACTTTAAAAGTTTGTGAAATTATTACGGCAGCCAATCCAAATATTTTTGTTGTTGCACAAAATCATCTTGGTTTTTTGATTGTCAATCACAAGCCAACAAGTAAAGGAGCAAGGGAAAAAAAGAAAAAAGAAAAAAAATGACATATTTGCTTATGCGTGCAAGTCCATAATAATTTCTTTTGGTTTTAGATAGTGGTCATATATGTCAGACCAATATATAGACTACCTAATTTATGCAGTTGGCATATGATAAATGCTATACATAAAGGTGCATTCTTCTCAGTTCTCTCCATACTACAAAAAGTTTCTTCCTCTATAGCTCACCCAGTGAAACTAGATGTGGGGCTAAACTGTCTGTGAATGTTTTCAACCTAGTTTAAACATGGAAAGGTTGCATAAATGTCCAGTCAAATTCTGATGATGAAATACTAAGTTTTATTCCATGCATTTAGTTTGTAGAGAATAGAATATTTATATTGCTATATACATACTCCAGTTCGCAGTTGTGTTCTTTATAGTACCTTCAAGAGCAGAATAATTTAATTTCAAAACTGGCTCTCTAACAAGCAACGTACATATTTTTTAATATTGAGCTAGAGATTGTGAGGAAGTTTGAAATAATTTGAAAGATTCTAAAATATTGGGGAGTTTGTAGAGATTTGTAAAGTGTGAAAAGTTTTACAAATATTAAAGAGTTTTGTAGATATATAAATATTTGAAAGAGAGTGTTCTAGAGGAGTGATCTTACCCATATATGTAATGTAGGTTACAACTTCATTAAAGACAATGCCTATATATATATAGATAGGAGTTTCATAGTTTCAAATTTGGAAGACCAAGAGTGTAATAAGTCAAAAACATATTAAATAGAATAAAATGATTCAGTATAGCCCAACAAGAAATACCTAAAAGATAGGTTTAAAGAAAATCCTTTAGTTACATAACTTTGGTTTGTTAAATGTCAACTTCTTGAATTAATAATTAAAGTTATATATACAAATCCTTGTATATATATACAAGGATTTGTATATAAGAAATCAAAAATTTATAAACTTCTAATTTGATGCTCCTTCTTTCTCTCTCTCAATTGTTTTTTTAATTTTTCTCCAATCATTCCAACTCTATAAAAGGTTTTCTTCAGTTTTTTTCTCCTCTGTAACGGTATCCTCTCCCCTAAACTTAACATACTACTTAGAATTTATTTATTTTTTTTGGGGAAAAAAAAAAAAAAAACTAAACAAAAATCAAAGAAGAACACAGAAGAAGCCATGCAGTACACTTTCCCACACCCTTACAATCTTGCAATATCAACTTCATGAGCCAATCTGTTACGTGTTCAGAGAACCCATGCAATAGTTGACCCCCACACTGCCTCCCAATACATCTTTTACAATAACTAACAATAGAGTTTTCAATTTATTTTTTTGTCAAAAACCTAAATAACTAAATTATCTTTAAAAAATCAATAAAAATAATTAAAAGGTGTATTCGGTTATATGAAATTAAAACTTTGAAATTAGAATTTATAAAATTTGAGAAAAATAACTAAAAAAATTGAATTGAAATTTTCTCAAATTTTATCGATTTCAATTTCAAGGCTATTCCTAAAATTTATTTTTTTAAAAAAACGTATTTTTTAGATTTGTAATTAAAAGTGCATTTTGTGCCCTAGGTACCAGATTTAAAAAATTCACCATTACGGCACTCAATTTTGTGCCTTTTTCGGACTGAAGGCAGGTGTTGGCTCTGTTTGGGCTTGTTTTTGGACCTTTTTTTTTTTTTTTGGTTGGTTCTTCTTTGTTCAGCTTAGCAGCCCAATGGACTAGTTGTGGCTCACTCACTGTATGGTCACCTTTTATCTACATATATGTCGCTTAATCATTTGAAGGGAAAGAAATAAAAAAAAAAAAATGAACATTGACAACCTTATTTATCTTAAAAATATATATTAAAAAGGGATTTGTACACTTATATGTAAAAATTCCTATTAAAAATGTATCAAAACAAAAATAGTTTAAAAATCAATTTTTAAGATTTTATTTTATATCACTACTTAGATTCTCTAATAAATTTTTTTGTCTTCCCTCCTAGTACGGAAGGAGGTTTGAGCAACAAAAGAAGGATAACAGTTCTAAAATGAATAAATAAATAATATTATATCAAAAAAAATTAAATAATAATAGAGCTCATTTAATTAGCAATTACTATCTCTATTCCAAAAAAAAAAAATCTTTATCAAAAAACTGTAACTCACAAACCCCAAAAGAGACATTTTTTTTTTTTTAACGGAAGAAGTATTATTTTTATATAATTATATTTTCATAGTTACGAAACTATTTTATAATTACATTTTGTTTTATATTTTTTTATTTTATTGTGAATAACGATTGTTCCCAGAATACTCATCTCGAACGATTTATTTATTTATTAATTTTTTTTTTTCCCAACAGCGATTTGTTTTTTTACCCGATTAATAAGTTAAACAACTCAGAACAATTTTTTCTCAAATATTTATTTAAAGAAAAAATAAAAATAAAATTAAGGAACTCTCACTCGCTAGTGGCGTCTCTCTAGTCTCTACATAAGTCTATATTAGCAACCGTTCTCTCCCAAAAAAAAAAACCCTAGAAGAGAGTGGCGGCGAAAGAAAAAGCAGGGTTTCAGGAGGCTCTAAGTCATCAATAAACATGGTGGATCTGATATCTTAGCGTAGTTTCTCACTCATCGCTAGTCGATCATTTAACTGAATCTGCTTGTATTTCTCTATTCGTGCAGACTTTCAAGCGAAGGAATGGAGGCCGCAACAAACATGGCCGTGGACACACCAAATTCATCCGCTGCTCCAACTGTGGCAAATGCTGCCCCAAGGTCCCCCATTTTTTTTCTCTCTTGATAATATATGTATATATATGTATGTGTGTGTGAATTCAAGGACATTTTGTGTTTGTATGTATATATCTTTCAAGATTCGGTCAATTTTTGAGTTTTCCTAATTGTTATGCCTGTGATTGGTTTTATTGTAAGCTGATTGGAATATTTCTCTGATTTGAACTGTACGGGTTGATATGCTGGCTAGATAGTGTTTCTGTAATTTCAGAACTGTAATGCATATGTGTGCCCTGACATAATTAATTTGGAATTTTCAGAAGTTTGATTAATTTTGAATCTGGTTATTAGGATAAAGCTATCAAGAGGTTTCTGGTTAGGAACATTGTTGAGCAGGCTGCTGTTCGCGATGTTCAGGAGGCCTGTACTTTTGAGGGTAGTTCTTTCTTCTTTTTCTTCAAATTTTTTTTTTTATTTTTTTATTTTTACATATTATTATTTTGTCGGATGATACATTTAATGATGACTAATGACCGAAAAAGTGCTGATTTAATTTTTTTTTTTTTTAAAGCATATGTCCTTCCCAAGCTGTACGTGAAGATGCAGTACTGTGTTTCATGTGCAATTCACTCCAAAGTTGTTAGGGTCCGCTCTCGTACTAATAGGAGGGTTCGTGAGCCGCCTCAACGCTTTAGGCGCAGGGTAAGCTAGCCTGCTATGGTGCCTTCTGATATAGTTGGTTTTGCTTGTTTCTTTGCCATAATTGTTAGCTTTTGTTACTGAGCAACCTATTGGTCTGTCATGTTTCAGTAATTTTCTCCATTACTGCTGTTTGAGATGGGCGCATTAAGTATGAGTCGCTTGTTATCTTGTGCCTGAGGCTTTGATTGGTTTTGGTGTCTAATTTTATTCTTCTGACACATATCATTGAGCTTATTATCATACTGGATGCGTATGTTCTATTGGTGCTGCAATTTATTAGTCTTTCTTTTCTAGTGATTTCATGTACTAGAGTAGTTTTTTTTTTTTTTTTTTTCATTCATTCATTCATTTTGGTTATTTATCAATATTAGTTTTTAATTGTCAAAATGTTTTGCTTTTCATGCACTTTATCTCTTCTTATTTTTATCTGGTTCATTTATGAAATTTCAGTTAGTCCAAGAGCCAGGTTGGTGGCCTATATTTCGATTAATTGCCTTTAGAAAATGTCCTTTACATGAGTGGAGGTCCTAAACCTCTCAGTGTGCTGTGTTAATAAAATTATTTTGAACTTGTAATTGTGGAGTGGCTTTGGATGTTCAAATGTTCTATTTTGGCACTTGCTTGAATAGTTGAATGGTTTGGGATATTTTTGTATGCTGGCATTTTCTGCATATCCCTGATGTTGATTTGGTTGTGGCGATGAATTGGGTAATATCAACCTGCTAAAGATTTTTGTTGTTTTTGTAACCTTTTCTGATGTTTTCCGGGCTATCGAAGTCTGTGCGGATACAAGGAATAATATATCTTTTAGTCCACCCTTTGTATCTCATAAGAAGTATGTTCCTGTAATGGCATATGAGTATATGACATAATTTTGATATTGGCCAAGAGATTTCTCCAGAAAGTGAATTACATGAATCTGTGTGGGTGTTAGAGGCAATATTGTGTACTCTGCTGAGATCCAATCACTCCTTAATGAGCTTCAATAGTCTTTGTTGGATGGACTTGTTTATGTGTGTCGACTTAGATTAAAATCCAAGTGTCATCTGATTAAATCCCAGAACTATAGGATACAAGACATGGCTAAATATTTATATATTTTAATATTGTATGTCTAGGTACAAGGTAAAATTTATCTTAACATAGGCATTTTACATGTGAACCTCTCTTTTGAATTAATGATGTGGCAAAATGAGAATATTAATCTAGCTTTATGTTAAATTTTATAATAAATTTGTATTATTGGATGTGCATGCGCAACTATCAAGTGCAAATATGGACACAAGATACATGTATGGCACAATAAGAACACACTGATACGACAAATCTCAAAAAAATAGGAATCGCACACTGTAGGGATATGTCAAAAAGTAAAAATATTATTATATATAGTTGATTTCCTCATTTTATTTACATTATAATAATTTAATTACTCATTGGGAGGCTAGAGTGTCGTTTTTGTTTTATAAAACTTCATATTGTTTTTCTATTACTATTACTTTTTAAATATTTTTTTGATAAGTTTATTCTATTACCATTCTTTGTTTTGATATTGTCTTTATTTTTTTTTTGAAAACTAATTAAAAAGTTCCCCCCGCCTTGCCCTGATGAACGTGTTCTCGCCATATCCTGCAGTGTTTCCGCTGTGTTCTATGTCGTGTCCAACCAAGAAAAAGATTATTCAAGTTCTAGGACACTCCTAAAAGTAACAGACACGTGTCTGGTTGTCTCTCACACATGTCCAACATTGCCACGGCACTCCTAGAAGTGTCTGTGCTTTCTAGATGTCCAACAAGATAAGTTGGACACATATCGTGACCTATATCGAGGTGTTGTCTAATACGGATGGTTCACTCATTTAGAAGAGTCCATGACTCGAGGTATCTGTATAATTGTTCACACAAGTTGGTGCTGCTTGGAAAATGTCTTTCAGACTCCGCAAAACTTGCATTCTTAAATTACATGCACTCACACAATACAATTGATATTTTCAAGTCTAGTTTATATGTTAATCTTCAATGAATTTGAAGCTGATATGCTTGTTGAATCTATCTGAAACTGGTTTGTAGACCATGAAGAGGCTGTTGGTTTAATTGAAATGCTTATTCAATGGGGCTGACTAAATGAGCCATCTATTTGCCTCATTTAGCTCTCTATTTCCTTTTCAATTTGTGTAGCTTGTGCACTTTTCTCTGTTAGTGGGACTAAAGCTGTCTGATGGTGTTATATTAAGTTATACTTCTGTAAATATGGTAGTAATGCCTTTTTATCCTTTCTTACATGGGTTTTCTGTCTCTCTTTGGAATATCAGGAGGATCTGCCAAAGCCAGCTCCAGGACCACGCCCTGCCGGAGCACCGCCAATTCCTCCTCGCCCCTAAAAAAAACCAACTGGTCACATTACATTCTGCTGCTAGGATTTGAAATTGGGTTTTGCACTGATTTATTATGGATTTTGTTATTTATGTTTTAGTTATGTGGCTTAGTGCCCGGATATCATGTTGAATTCAGGCGAATCAAATTATTGCATTTTATTAATGAAGTTTGTGACATTTTTCTGCGGATAAGCATCATGCTGTCGAAGAGACTATTTCATTCTGAAATTTAAACAGTAGATGGGATTGTGAAGAAAAACCTTGAAAGCATTCATCTCAGGCGTTGAGCAAAGGTATTCATCATCTTTCATGTGAAAACTTTTGATTGATTCAGTGATATTGTTTGTTCTTGAGATCTGTCGCCTTATATAAGGCAACTTTACTTGGTTGCTTGTTCTTGCACACCGGCCGAAATTGGTTGAATTTATTCTATTTCCATGTTTCATTTGTCACGAAAACTGGACCAATGTTGATGTCCATAGCGTTTTAAGTTAAAAAGCTGTAACAGAAGCTTTTGAACTTGAAACGCTTTTGAACTTAAAACGTTTTTTCCCCACATGAATTATGCATGATGGACAGTTTTTGTAAAATTCTCTCAACTGCCATTTGTTATGTTGCTGCATCATCAAATAAAAATTATGCAGTGTGAGAAAATGCGCTTGTGATTATTGATTGGGATCATGTAATAAATTTTTCTTAAGAAATGGCTCCTAATTTATATGCCTTATGGTTTTATTATTGCTGGTAAGATCATGCTTAAATATATGAAATTATTCCAGGTACTGCCACAGTTGCCTAAAGTTTGAGTACTTGAAAAGAAAAAGGGTGTATTAGGCGAATTTTTGGGAGAATTGTCTTCAACGTTAACAAAATTACGAAGCAAATCAAATCTTGTTTGTTTTGTTAATATTAAAAATTACTGGACTAATTGCAGACAATCCTTCTATACTATTAAATTACTAAATTTTTCCTCCATTTTTATTTTTATTTACAAATAATCAGGTTTTACTCCTTTTTTTTACACCAAACTTATTGGGGGCTAAATGCAATAAAATAAATAAAATTATAGTAAGAGGGGGGTCATTTACAAGACTACAATTAACATATGCTAAATATTCATATGACGGTGAAAAAATGTCTTATTATGTGCTATCAAGCAACACTCGTTGCAAGTTTGTATTGGCGGTTTACTGGTGATATTATCTATTATTTATTTTCTTTTTAATTAAAAAATAATATTTTCTTCAATTCCGTGAATAAGATTATCTTTTTTCTTTTTAATTAAAAAATAATATTTTCTTCAATTCCGTGAATCAGATTATCTTTTGCTTCAAATAAGTGTCTTCATCAACCCTAAAATATTGTTAAAAACATCCTATTGTAAGTAGTGTGATCTCTATTGCAAAGGGTATGTCACCAATTGATCATTCAATTTATATTTAAAAAGGTACAGGAGGAGGCTTGATATATCTTTTCCTCTTGGTAGGGATGAAAATGTGTATTAAATTTGGGGATATGTCCATAGAGATTTCTTCCTGTTATACGATATTCTTGATTTGTAACTTTAAGAATAGTTTTCTGTTTTCAGAAAACTGAAAACTGTACAAAAAAAAATCTGCTTGGTTCAATTTTCTAAAACTGTTTTATGAAAAGTCAGTTATAAAAAGGTCTTTTTCAGAGAGACTCTTTTATTGTTATCTAAAAATTGTTTTCTTTTCTGTGAATTATTTTCAAAATTATAAACCAAGCAAGCCCTAAACTTTTCATGATTCTCAGTCTCTCATGTTTGGTGCAACGGTAATCGGTGACTTGTACTCACGTTTCTTCTTGCGGGGTGATTTGGTTTCGGATATATGGTTCTCTTCGATTGACTTGTACTCTTGTTTCTTCTAGCGGGGTGATTTGGTTTTGGATATGGTTCTTTCTTCGTTCCCTCCTTCGATCTTTCGATTTGCTGAGCAGGTTGGTCGTGTTGCTTCGTGTTGCTCGTTGTTAATTTCTTTATTGTTGTTGTTGTTGTTGTTGTTGTTGTTATTGTCGTCACTTAACAGGAAAAATAATAATTTAATAGTAGGATTAAAATTTAATAAATATGGAGATTTCACTATGCATGTAAAATGGCCTATATCCACAAAAGGGCACTGTTGTAACATAAAAAAAAATATATGTATATATGAGTTTACAATACAAATGTGAATTTTGGCTACCGGAGGTGAAATTCCTTGAACATGTAGGGTCTGGGGATGGGGTTTCTGTGAATCCTTCAAAGATTGAGGCTGTGGTGAATTGGGGAACAGCCGAAGAATGTATTTGAGATTCGTAGTTTCTTGGAACTAGCAGGTTACTATCGCCGATTTGTGGGGAATTTCTCACGACTAGGTGCATCTATGACTGGACTCACTCGCAAGGGAGTTTAGTTCATTTGGGATTAGGCTTTTGAGCGTGCTTTTCAGGAATTGAAGAAAAGACTAACAACTGCCTTAGTTTTAGTGATACCTGAGCGTGGCTTGGGTTACACCATTTATTGTGATGCCTCACGGGACAATTTGGGTTGTGTGTTAATGCAAATCGAAAGGGTGGTAGCTTATGGTTCACGTCAGTTGAAGACCCATGAGCAGAATTATCCAACTCATGACTTAGAGTTAGTAGCAGTGATTTTTGCCCTAAAGATGTGGAGACATTATTTGTACGGAAAGAAATTTGAGGTGTTCTCTGATCATAAAAGCCTCAAATACCTCTTCTCACAGAAAGACTTGAATTTGAGACAGAGATGATGGATGGAGTATATGGAGGATTATGACTTCGACTTGCAGTATCATCCTGGGAAAGTTAATGTGATAACTGATGCTTTAAGCCGAAAGTCACGGGGTAGTATGGCTAGCATTGCCATTCGGGAATGGAAAATGATGGAAAACATAACAGAGTTAGGCTTATATTTCTGTGAAGACAGAGAGCCAGCCACCTTATTTAGCCTTATTACTCAACCAACTCTAGTGAGTAGAGTGATTGAGGTGTAGCAGCACGACAACGAGGCTATTGCAGCTCGTACTCGCATTTTGAGCAGCGAGGTAGTAGAGGATTGGGCAGTTCATTCTGATGGAGGTTTGAGGTTTAGAGGTAAGTTGTTTGTGCCTTTGCCCTGTAGAAATGATATCCTTAGGGAGTTTCATTACTCTCGACTTGCAGTGCATCCAGGTGGCATAAAGATGTATCACAACTTGCGTCACCAGTATTGGTGGAAGGAGATGAAGAAGGATGTAGCTCAGTTTGTGGCTAGATGCCTTACTTGTCAACAAGTTAAGGAAAAGCATCGGAGGCCTGCAGGGTTGTTGCAGCCATTGCCAGTGGCAAAGTGGAAATGGGAACATGTTACTATTGACTTAATGATAGGGCTACCGAGATCGCAACAAGGACATGATGTTATTTGGGTTGTGGTTGACAGACTAACCAAGTAGGTCCATTTCCTACCTATCCGGACCACAGATAGTGGGAAAACCCTAGGAAATTTGTATATCAAAGAGATAGTGAAACTACATGGTACTCCAGTATCTATTGTGTCAGATTGGGATACTCGATTTATAGCCCGATATTGGCGAGGTCTTCAAGAAGCTTTTGAAACTCAATTGAAATTTAGCACAGCTTATCATCCTCAGACTGATGGGTAGTCAGAGCGGACTATTCAGATTTTAGAGGACATGTTACGTGCTTGTATCTTTGGATTTTCGTGGTAGTTGGGAGGATCATCTTTCATTAGTGGAGTTTGCCTATAACAACAGTTATCGATCTAGTATTGGGATGGCACCATTTGAGGCGTTGTATGGTAGGCCATGTAGGTCACCTATTTGTTGGGTTGAAGTAGGGGATGCAACTACCTTAGGTCCTGATTTAGTACGGGAGACTACAGAGAAAATCAGAACGATACGCTAACGATTGGTCACAGTTCAGAGTCGCCAAAAGAGCTATGCCGATCGGAGACAGCGACTTTTGTCATTTGAAGTGGGGGATCATGTGTTTCTCAAAGTTTCTCCATGCAAGGGGTTATTGCGATTTCGTCTAAGTGGGAAGCTATCTGCACGGTTTATTAGACCCTTTAAGATTTTGGAGAGAGTTGGAGAGGTACATAGCTTATCATTTGGCACTACCACCACGGTTTTTCGATATACATAATGTTTTTCATGTGTCCATGCTACGAAAATATGATCTAGATCCTTCATATGTGCTTAATTGGAAGGACCTTGAGATTGAGAAAGATGTGTCATATAAGGAGCAACTGATGGATATTTTGGACTCTGGGGAGAAAGTTCTTCGAAGCAAGACCATTCCTTTGGTCAAAGTACTATGGAAACACCATGGAGTGGATGAGGCTACGTGGGAACGTGAGACAGACGTCCGATCCATGTATCCTGATCTATTTACCAATGAAGATATGTTTTAAATTTTGAGGACGAAATTTTTTGACCCAAAAATATATATATTTATTTATTTATTGGTACTATTAATTGTATATTAATATTTAGGTTAGTTGATATTATTTTGATTAATTATATATATTAATATATATGTGTATCTATGCCTTGATATTTATTATATGTAGTATAGAAAGTACATATAATTGATTAAAAGAGAATAAAATAGTTAGAATGGTTACAAAGGAAAAGGTGCCAAGGATGTTTTGACATTCTGTGGGTAGCTAGAGTCATGGTCAAAAGAAAATACTGTGATAATAATATTAATAATGTAATTATATGAAAGTGTAATGATATAAAAGCTATTTAAGGTCACGTGAGTATTTGGGAAAAGATTGGGTGATGGAAAAGCAGAGGACTACATAAGTTATCAAGAAATAAGAAATCAATTATATATAATCGTAACAATAGAAACATCAAAAAAAAGAAAAATAAAAGAAAAAATAAAAGAACGGTGTGAAGCACTAACCCCTTTCTTCTTCAATTCTTCTCTCTAAAATTTGAAGATCTAAGGAGTTAGGTTTTGCAAGGAGTTTAAGAATTAAAGTTGTTCTATTCAACGCGTTCTATAATTGGAGCAACAATTCGTGGTTATTGATCTTTTAGAGTTTTAATTATCTTTAATTGAGGTAGGGGTATAATAACCTGACTAACCCTTAATTATGTGATTTGTTCTTCCTTGTGATTTTGTTGAATATCATGTTCTATATGTATTTTTTTAATTATTGTTTAATTATTTTAAAGTAGAGTAATTTTGTGATTTAATTTGTGTATTAATCAAAAATATACTATTGTTAATTGCTATGGATCATGGACATAAATTGTTGCACAATTTGGAGTTTAAATTCTGATTTTTGATTTATTTGAGAATTAATGCATTCAAGGTGTTTGATAATATATTTTGTTGAATGGTAATATTTTGACACACTTGGTAAAGGTATGGAACTTGGTTTAAGTATTGTTGATTGGTTAACGGGGTTGTACCATAAAAGCAAGATAGGGCTCGGTGCCCTTAGGTGAAAAACCTTAGACTTGGCCAAGTGGTGCTCGTACCCAACGGGTTAGTAGCCCGTGAACTGAGTAGGTGTTACGTGATTTGCGATGTCAAGTGCACGGAATTACGGACAATGCCCGTATTTGATTGAGACGTGATAAATATTTAGGATGAATATTTCGGAGGAAATTGATTAAAAAGTTTATATTATATTAATATAATTATTTTTATATTCAAGCTTTCATCAAAGTTGCTTGGTTGTGGCATCTCATATACTAATGGTTATTTTTGGGCTTTGCTCACCCCCTTACCCCCTAACCAAACAATTTGCAGGTGAAGGAAACGGTACCGAAAATATTTAGCACGCTTGGAAAAGATTTACTTAATGTTGCTTGGCTTGGAGAATTTCTAATAGTTGATAATTTTGATGTCAACATGGATTTGGAATTATTATTTACTGACATAGAGTTTAGATCTATAAACGGATCGGATTCGGATAAGATCATGGCTTATCCGATTCGAATCCGATAAGAATATGCTCAAATCAATTCGATCCGATAATTCGACAAATATTTTGTGGATCAATTTATATCTAATTTGTTAATAAACGGATATCCGATCCAATAATCTAGTCCGATCCAATAAGGGTTTGTATATATATATATTTTTTTTTTGTAAAAAACAATTAATGTCAAAAAAGAATTAAAAAAAAAAAAAGAAAGATAAATAAAATATGAAAAAGGAAAATTAAATCTTTTACTTTTGTTAAAGAATAAATACTTGAGAATAAGGAAAAATAGAGAGATTGAAAAAAAAGGAGAAAATAATAATAAGAATATTTTAATAATATATAAAAATATATATCATAAAATTTCATTTTATATATTTAACATATTATATAATATATTATTTCGGATAGGATTATTATCGAATCGGATTGACCATAATCCTTATCCGATTTGTTTAGCTAACCAGTTTTCGAATTCGAATCGTTATTGAATTAAATCTTCAATCCATAGCCAAGTTATTGGATTGGATTCGGATCAAAATCCGATCTATTGACAAGTCTATTTGAGTTTCAAACGATCATTTTTTGAAGAATTTTTCTAAAATTTAAAAGAAATAGTGAATTAATTCCTCCTTGGACATCACATTTTTAGAAGATATTAATCGTAAATTCCCCCTACTAGTAGCGAAACAAAAGTACGAAGCATGTATGGTAATGTTTGCTATAATTTTGAATAGTATGAAGGTGTTTCGGAAAGAGAAGCCAAAACTGGAAGCAAAAATTTGATACTTCCGATTGCTTCAACACTGTAGCAAAAGTATTGTTCACGAAAAAAGAAGAAGATATTTTTAACTAGCCATTTAATTTTTCAAACTTTCAACATTTTTTTGCCAAATATGTTTTCATGTTTTTGCTTATAAATATATGTTACTAAACATGCTCCCAAATAGTATTGAATACATTTCAAAACAGAAACTTTACTTCTGTTTCGGGCAGTGATGGACCTAGAAAATTTTGTGAGGGGGGCAGCCTTTTAATTTGTGGGCACTGGGGGTAAACTTATATAGTGGGTCCATTTTTGTAATTTCAATAGGGTTTTCTTCATAAAATTTAAAAATTTAAAGTATAAAATGTAAAAAAATAAAATTTAGTGGGTGAATTGTAATTTTAGTAGGGCATCTTCATAAATTCTCAAAAGTTTGAAGTATAAATGAAAAAAAAAAATCCATTGAGGGCGAATTATAATTTTAGTGGGGACATCTTCATAAATTTTTTAAAAATTAAGGTATAAAATAAAAATATAAAAAATTCAGTGGGGGTATCTGCCCCTACTACTCCTATGTTGGAACCGTGCCTGGCTTCGAGTAAAAGTAAGCACGTTAATCAACATGTAGTCTACAATGACATGACATCATGGAGAGAGCCAGAAATTATTTTTCAAAAGGCACAATTCAAATATATATATATATATAATGTAGCAAATTAAAATTTTTAAATAATTATACATACAAAAATGTAATTTTTTAAACGTTGATGGTGAGCAAAATGTCCCCAGCCTTAATTGGCTTGGTTCTTCTTGCATGAGATGAGTCAAAATAAGAGATAGTCCAATTGCCACATAAAATAAAATAAAACATGCTAAATTGTAATTAACTATTATAAATATGTATTTTCTTTTTAAAAACAAAAGTTATGTTTGATTTTAGCACTATATCTTAATTGACTAGTTGGTCCACAACAATGCAGCATGTCTCATACTAAATGCCATATTATTTGTATTTATTTATTGCAGTCGAAAATTTAAGCAATTTGGCAGAGCTATAGTTCCTTGGAAATTAATTTAAATTTATTTTCTGGATTTAAACTATATTTAAAGGGGAATCAAAATCTAGGTTAGGATATAGATTTATTGGTTCAGATTTTGAATATAAATAGGCATTAAATGAATTTAATTTAACACGAGACCAAATCCAATCCGATTATGTTCTATAAGGTAAGAACTTTATTTGTATTTATCCATTATGGACTAAATGGGGTTGGATATGAATTGTAATCATAACATCTAACTGCTTACCAATTTTATTTTTGTGTACCGAACTTCAGTTACTTCACATTAATTAATATACAAGAAAATAATAATAATAATAATAATAAGTCATTGGTGCGTAAAATGTACGCGTATTGTCGTGGTGACTGGTGAGACGAGCCAAAAACTTTTGCTCAAATTTCAGTACGTCGCGTCGCGGCGAGAGAGGGGAAGACAGGTTAACAGGAGCGATGTAGAGAGAGAAACCATCAATCTCTCTTTCTCTATATATAGAGAGAGAGAGGTTTTTGGGTGGGTTTCTTTTCGCTGCGAAGGTTCAAGAAAAGACCAAACCGTTTCTCTAAAACCTCCATCATCATTTAGTTTTGTCTCAAACTTCCGAATTTCACGTCGTTATATCTTTCAGATATAGAAATATAGATATAAATACAGCATTACAGATATACAATTTCCATATGTCGCTTCATGCACCTCCAAACCTTTCCAAATCAAACCATTCACATAATAAAACCCCCTCTTAACATACTAGTAATTCCAACTCTAAACCCTCCTTCTCTCTCAAGAATTTCACATGTTCGTGAAGCCCTTTTCTGCCGAAACCCTTTCGAAGTCATTGGGTCTCTGAAAGTTCTTCTGGGTTTTGATATATAATCTTCTTGGGTCTTGTATAATTTGTGTATATATCTTGATCACATATATGGGCGATCTTCAACTTTGTTGTCGACAGCCAAACGGCCTCGTATTGGAAGATCACCTGTTCCCACCGTCTTTCTCGCCGCCTCCGTCGCCGTCGGCGTCATCTAACCCCGACCCATCGTCAGTTCAAGACGATAGTTGGGTGGTAGCTGAAAAGACGGCCCAAGAAGTGGTGTGTTGTGTTCAATCCACTATAGCTTCTGATAAGAAGAGGGACGATGTCATTGAATACGTACATAGACTAATCAGATGTCTTGGATGCGTGGTGAATTCATTTTCCTTCAATGTCTCTGTTTTGGTTTTGAACAGTGTAGTATGGTTTAATTGTTATATGGGTTGTGTTCTTTTAGTTGGCTTCTGTTGGTTTTTGTCATCTTCATTCTATATTCGTTAGGTTCTTTACGCAATTCAGTTTTTCATTTGATTGACAGATTGTATGTTCTTTCCACAATTTCCCTTTCTTTTGTAAGGCAAGCCTGATTCACGAAGAGTGGAGTTAAAACTAGTCTGATACTAATGCGTATAACAAGAAATTCATATCTGAGGTGCTTAGTTATTACTATTATTTTTCATTTCACTCTGTGTAGAATCACTTCATTCTATTCTGAATTTTGTAGAATTTTGGCAGTTTGGGCAAATTATTGGTATGAGGGTTGCAGCAATCAGTCGAGTCTTAAAACATATGCCTTCAAAAAGATCCACAAAATATGGGTTTTCAACCTTATTATTTGTTAAATTCATATGGTATTTAAACTGCAGTTTTGTTTAGCCTATCAAGATGATTTGCCTTCCTTGTAACGTGGTCAGGGGTCCTTTCCTGAATGCCTAAAATTAATTGCTAATTTGGTTTTCCCCTTGTCATGCTAGCTCTTTCTAGATGAGTCCACACTGATTTTTTTAGGATGAATTGCACCAAGAAAACATAGTCACTGATTTTGTTGTCAATGCTTTTTTAATTGAAGACAGTATACCATGATTTCATGGGAGATTGAATTGCACAAAATGCTTTCAATGGAAATTGGCGAGTGTACAACTATTGAAGAGGCTAAGCTTGGAATCCTAATTTAAGACTCTCAACTTCTTTGGAAGGAATTGGGAAGAAATGAAATGCTTGGTTATTACTGGTGTTTGTCCCTCTAGTGTGCTAGGGGGAAATGAAATGCAATATACAAAGTTTTCATCTGATTGATGGGAATTATGTAATATTCAAGAAAACCAAGGCAGAGGTTTCCCTCTCCCTCTTTCAAGCCTAAAAGAAAAAATGTGAGAACAATCTGGAGCACGCGAAGTGTGTTGTGCATTGCTGTGTTCTGTGTCTAATCTACCTAGGTATTTTTTTATTGTGTGGTGTGGTTTCATTAATCTTATCTTGTCATTCTAAAGCATGCGGGCACACACATATATGATCTTTCAATTATTTAGGTGTAATTTCCGATTCTACTTTATAAGGGTAAAATTCACCAATTATAAGCTGGATTACGTAGTTAGATTTGGAATAGTTTTATTTGTTTCTACATTTTTTTTTTCAATATTCCTTTTCACATCCTTATTGATGTTAAAGACAATTAAGATGACTCTATGCACAATTATTTAGAAATTAGGGCTCCTTATGGGACAGTGGGAGAGTTTTCAATATACTTTTGCTTCTTTGTTATTAAAAAAAAATATATACTTTTGCTTCTTTGTTGGGGATGGTTGTTTTGTATGCTCTGGCATGATATTTGGCACAGAGAAGAAGTTTTGAAGCGAGATATATAGTGCATTATAGTATTCCCCTGAATAAAGGGACAGTCATGACTGATTAAGTCAGGTTGTTTGAGGCTGGATTCCTGGAAGCCGCTTTCACTGGGTTTGCGCAGGATTGGAAAACCGAAGAGGTGAGCGGATTCTTTTAGTGCTTTACGGGATGGAGGTTGGGAAAGACAGTGAAGATGCTTTGAGGTGGAAGCTGAATTGGCATGGGATTTGGAATGAATTTCTATTATAAGATTTTCAGGGTAAGGGTACAATAATTTCCCTTGATGAGGTTAAAGGCCTGAAGGAAGAATGCTAATTAGTTCGCATTTTTTTACTTCAGGAGTTACTAGTAACCCTAAACTTCACAACTTCTAGCAGATACAAGGACTATTTCTCCCAAAATAGGTATTATTTGGAACACCGTGAGTAATGAATTGAAATATCTCTGTTACCAAGGCTGAGGGGTTTAAGGGCCTAAAAGCAGAGTTCTTATTTATGCAATATTTTTGACTTTAGTAATACTAACTAAAATTTTACGACTTCTAGCAGATACAAGCACTGATCTTCGAAAATAAGAACTATATGGAGGACCCCGTGGTAATGAACTGGGGTATCTTGTTACTTAGGCCGAGAGGTAATCCAACAAAGAAGATTAAATAAAAAGGCTGAGGGATATTCCTTACTACGCAATCAGTATCAAGTTTCACTTATCTGAACATCTAATTTTTTGTGCAATTTTGTTGTGAAACATCTTTACGGGAGCCAGCCATGTGGGAAATGTTATTGTTCCATTTTGTTGTAGTTCTTGTAAGTCAAGTTTTACTGATTCTGTATGCACATTTTGTAGGTCGTCCCATATGGATCAGTACCACTAAAAACCTATCTTCCTGATGGAGACATTGATCTGACTGTTATCAGCAAGCCTAATGTTGAGGATGCTTTAGCTAGGGATGTAATTGCTATGTTGCAGGGAGAGGAGCAGAATAAAAATGTGGAGTATGAAGTGAAGGATACCCAATTCATCGATGCTGAGGTTTTCAACACTTTTGATGCTCCATTATAAATGTTTATTCAAATCAGTTGGTATGTTCCACCATATGGAGAGTATGGATTTTAATATCTTGATCTGGATCCCATTATCTCAGGATCCTATGATCCAAAAATACTGAAGCAATCTGAATCCCACAAAAATCTCATGTGAGTAAAATCTGTATAAGGCTGTAGGAATCCTGGGATCCCGTGCCTCCATATTCTATCGATTCTACTATACAACCTTATAATGTTATTCTTGTATATCTTTTTCGTAAGTTACTGCCCAATGCTCAAGTAACATTATAGAATGAAGATTGAGACCCTTTACATCTCCTAAATATGAAAAGTGTGTCAAAATTTACATGTCATTTTGAATCCATTGATTCTTCGAGTATGCTTCAGAGTTGAATTAAGTTGTTCTTGAGTTTGCTCATATTATATTTGCCTTTCTCCCCAGAATGTGTTTGTCAGCTTGTTTTCCAGTCATCGGGTTTCCTCTTTCTGGAATTTTGAAATTCTCTCTTTTCTCAGACATTTATGTGCTTACCCGCAGCAGGTCCTATCCATTCTTTGGATACAATAACCTCCACTTTTGTTCCAAGTTATGGGGATTAGCTCTTCCCCCAATTATGTGTTTGCGGATTGAATGTTCATGAGTTTTATTTACTTAGTTCTGAAGATCTTTAGTCATTTAAATATAAATGTTCTATCTATCCTTTTCTTTTCATCTGTATGGTGTTATGGAATTAGGAGTATTTGTGTTTCTGATGGCAGGTTAAACTTGTGAAATGCCTTGTAAATAACATGGTAATAGATATCTCCTTCAATCAGTTAGGAGGACTTCGTACACTATGTTTTCTGGGACAGGTATGGTTCAAGGCTTCTTGTCAAGATTTTAAATGCTCACTTGCTTGCTTTCTTCCTGTGTTTTTATTTCTATCATGCCAAAGTATAAATTCATTGTGTTTATTTTACTTAGCCTTATGAATTTAGTTGAATTATTTTTAAACACTTTTTAAATATCTACAGTGCTGAATTAAAAATCTCTTGTAAAATCTCAAGAATTGGCATTTTTTGTTTCTTTTTCTGATGATTCCATTGGTACTAACGCCTTCCAACACCATGGAAAACATAGGATTTGTTGATGTCTTTCTCCCTAAACTATTTTTTCTCTCCTTGTTTCACCATTCTAACAAATAAAATTTTACTGTTTGCAATTCTTTTCGGTTTCTGTGTCAGCATATGTATCTATTTCCCTAATCTGTTTGTCTACATTAGTAAGATTGCAAATCTGTGGTCTGATATATACAGAATTACATCTCTTTGCCACTTTTCCCTTCGTGCACATGTTTTTTTTTTCTTTCTATTATTTCAGTTTGTTTATGTTTACGTATCTTCTTTTTAGCTCCACTATTTCAGCATTTGTATCTATTTCCCTAACATAGGATTTGTTGAGTCTGAATGTTGTCTTCTTTTTGATGCTTATAGTAAAATCTCAGTATAAGCTTGAACTATTTTGTACTTCATGTTCTTAGCTGAATAACATTTATGCCTCAGAGTCCAATCAAGAGTAGGCCAGTCTGATTTGCTCTAGACACATTTTGAAGATCATGGCTTGCTGAAATACCATATTGTCCTTTTTTGGATTTTGACATTATTTTTATTTTTCAAAGCAGGTTGATCGCCTTATTGGCAAAAATAATCTCTTTAAGCGTAGCATTATTCTGATAAAAGCTTGGTGCTACTATGAAAGCCGTATTCTAGGTGCTCATCATGGTCTAATTTCTACATATGCGTTGGAAACATTGGTCCTATATATCTTCCATGTGTTTCATTCATTCTTAAATGGCCCTCTAATGGTAACTATCTGTGGTCGTCCTACTCGTGATTACTTTTATACAAGCAGTGTATGCAAGAGTTTGATATGTGATACTTGTTTGTCTGTTTATAGGTTCTCTATAGATTTTTGGATTATTTTAGCACATTTGATTGGGAGAACTATTGTATCAGTTTAAATGGTGCAGTTTGCAAAGCTTCCCTGCCTGATATAGTTGGTAAGCGATACCTCTTTTTCCTGTGAAGTTTAGTACGTTTTGTTAATAGTTATGATCTGTCCTCTTTCTGCAGTTGAGATGCCAAAAAATGGGGGTAATAATTGGATGCTTAGTGAAGAGTTTCTTAGAAACTGTGTGGACGTGTTCTCAGTTCCATCAAGTGAGACAAACTTGCGAGCATTTCCCCAAAAACATCTAAACATAATTGATCCATTGAGAAAAAATAACAACCTTGGACGCAGTGTCCACAGAGGTAAAGATCATTTGCTATATTTTAGTTTATTTTTAGAATGTATTTCTGGATGTTTCTTAAAAATATATGGAGGCTTATACTAAGTTACTGTTGTTGTGAGAAATGTAGTAGGTTATTTTCAGTGATCATGAGTTTCATTTTTGAAAACTTTTTGCTGATGTGGACAGGCGTTTGAAGAATTTTTCTTGTTTGGTGACTAGGAGAATTGAGCTTGTGTAAAGAAAAATGCAAACCTTAATTTTATGTTTTATGATGTTTTGGAGATCAACTCAGTTGAGACAAATAGTATTTAAGACCTAGTCGAGTGGAGTTTCTTGGTCCACATTGAGGGTAATGCTAGAGGAAGGGGAAGACAAAGTTAACATGAGTAGAATTAGGGCCTGTTTGGATTGGCTTCTCAAACACTGCTTTCGGCTTTTTGGGCTTGAAAGCTGCTTTGAATAGTGTTTGGCTAATTTGTTTCAAATAGCTTTGGGCCTTGGAAGAGCATTTTTGAGAAGCGGGGGGTACCAGCTTATCCAAAACGCTCTTTCAAGAAGCACAGGAAGCCAATGTTTTGTTTTAATGAACTTTTTAAACACTGGTCATGCCCTTTCTATTACCAAGTGAACAAATTGAAATTCCTGCCGCATCCCAATAAAAGTCCCCCCTAGCATGAAAAACTCGCGTCTGCAGAAGATGTCTCTGAAATTTCTCATCTCCTGTTACCAGGCGTGAGTTTTTTTTTCTTTTTCATCTTCCCAAACACCCAAATTCCTCATTTTTCTTCGTTTCCAACCAAAACCAATGAAATACTCGTGCCAACAAAAATCCTTGGATCGATGAGAGCATGAAAGTAGATGCAATTTTAATTATCTGAACCTCAGGCTCACCTGAGTTTGAAGCTCTATTTTCTGTATAGATTTTCTCCATATGTAACCGGAGTTTGAGTCGATCGATTTGGGTGTTGCTGATATTGATGATTGGAATTTTTCATTTAGAAAGGAAAGTTTTTTTTAACATAGAGGCGTCTTTTTCAGAAAAAGTAATCTTGATATTTGCTGATTTCTGAAAAGTAAAATTGGGTAAACCTCCAGTGATACTGTGGGAAGATGAATTCCCAGCTGGGCTGGTTGCTAAAAGTAATCTTGATATTGCTGGTCTCTGAAATAAAATTTAGTTTCTTCTTGTGGAAAAAAAAATAAAAAAACCGTTTCTTAGATAATTTTTAAGTCATACTTTTTAATTATACAGATTGTGTTACCCATGTATGTGTGTATTTAAATGTTCAGTCTACTGTTATGGGAATTTTTCTGGCCTCGTTAAACCTCTAATTATGGTTTGGATTATGGGCTTGTTCTCTTTGTCAAGTTCAACCTGGAAAGGGATTTTTTTTTTTTTTTGGATTATTTGTGCTCACACCTCGTATTTGTTTAGGAATGAAATATGCCACGAGTTCTGTTTGTGAGAATAGTTAGTTGAAAAGTACTTTCTTCATGCTCTTGTGGTGATTTGAAGTGCAAAATAGCATATGTAACATTAGCAAACATATTTTATTTACAAATTTTTTTCAATAGATGGATTTTGCCAAACTTTATTTCTGTTTTTACAAAAAAATTATAGTTAAACACAAACACTAGAAGAATGAGTAACTGAAAAATGATTGGTAACAAAAGACGATGGATGGGACAAGGTAAGACAAGACGTAAGAAACTCAAAAATCATTGGGACAAGGTAAGAAAAGATTAGTTGCTTAGAGACGGTAGTTATTTCAATTTGAGGGCAAAATAATTATTTAAATAATAGAAGAGCTTCAGAAAATGTTTTGCCAGACAGACAAAAAAAAACTCTTCTGCCATTAAAAGTTCTTCTAAAATATAGTTCCCAAGCACTATCCCATAATGAAGTGGAAGTGATAGCTTTTGCTGCTCTTTTTCTTCTGCATAAAAGCAAAAGCAAAAGCTATGCCAAACAAGACCTTAGTAAGGAAGGATATTATATCGTATGGTCTGAGGCTATGGCCTTGGATAGAGCGGATTGGAAAAATAGGATTCGGGCCCCAAGTAGTTGGAAAAACGCTTTGCTGTTGTTGCATTGGTAATGGACCTTTAAGAATTTTTCATTGTTAAATAACAAGATGTTGCTTTCTTTATATATATATTTGGTGGGTAAGCATGCAGACCTATTATTGCTCCAGTGGACACTTGAACCCTCAACCTGCCACGCAGGGGGCAGACCTAGAAATTTTCACTCGCGGGAAGGGAGTTTGCAAAATGAAAACTAAATTCAAGCTAGTAGTATGCACAGAAACAAAATTCAGAAATATATACATATACATATTCTGTAACTAATTTTTCTAGATGGAAGACTTATTTTAATAAATTTTTGGTACTTCATAAAATGAGAATAGAGATGGAAAAACTTATTATTTAGGTTTTCTTTCTTTTACCTTTCCCTTGAAATGATATTTACCAAAAAAATACCTTTCTCTTAAACTGGAGACTCCCAAAAGTAGGTTTTTCAAATTAAGGTTTTGTTTAGACTTTAAAAGGGCCACAAGTTAAATCCTTCTATTTGGAAATTACTCTTCACCTACATGTTTAGTAGGAAAGTTTTTCAAATTTATTTATTTATTTGCCACGGAGAATTGCCTCCCTCTAATTCCCATGTAGGTCCGCCCATTGCTCCTACGTGGTGGGGAGGAGATACCAGCTGAGCTAAAGCCTTGATGGAAAAACATTGTGTTTAAGTGAAAGCAGAAAACTGAAACAAGGAGCTATTTCATTTTAATACTAATATATGAAATCAAAGATATTGCTTATCATTTTCCTCATGTCCACACTGTCTCCATAATGATCAAGATGAGCAATGACACCACCATACCACCTCCTCAACTGATGGCTGCTCTCAGTAATTTGGTGGAGTGGAATTTTAATTTGAATTTTCAGTTCAATAATGGGGGTCTGGTTGATTTTAGTCACAAGCTGTTGCTTAATCTACTTGCTGAGTTGCTGCTGGTCCTTGCTTTGTTAATTCTGTTTCTACTTTCTGGTTTTGGGGAGTGGTTCTTTTCTATTTGTATCTCAGTTGATTAGGTGGTTGTGTAATTTCTTGTTTGGTTTCTTGATGGCCTTCCCTCTGGTTTGTAGCCTTTGCTTGGTTTAATAGAATGTGATTTAGGGAAAAAAACATTATTGCCACCATAAACATCATTATTGACCTCACCTCCGATACTGTTTGCAGTCTTTCAGCAGTATAGTTGAATGTGGTTTTTACTTATGCTTTATTATATTGGCAAATATGAAAACTAGAAAACGGATTGCTTTTGTTAACTTTTTTGTACATGCTCTCTATGTCGTGGTAAAATGACAGACTCTCCTTGTAGGCAATTTCTATCGAATATGCAGTGCTTTCAAGTATGGGGCTCACAAGCTTGGTCGAATCCTTTTGTTACCAAGAGAGAGAATCGCAGATGAGATCAAGAAGTTCTTTGCTCACACCCTGGCGAGGCATGGAAGTAAATGTGAAGCTGATGTGCAAAATACTGTAGTAACAGCTTGTGCTAATGAGTCTTCCACTTTGTCATCGTCATTTCATTCAGATTCATTTTCTGAGGATAAGATGCATTTAAAATCTTCAAATTTTGATATTGGCAATAATATATCGGAGATGGAAGATAAACTTTCGGTGTTCAGAAATGACCAAGACATAAACTCCATGGAAGTCATTTCTACACAGGTTGTGTCAGAAACAGGATTTTTGATAGATGGAACTGCTGTTTTTGGTTATAGTTTAGATGGGGATGCCAGTTTGGCAATTGCAAATGAAACATCCGATTGTTCATCTCCAGTCAGAAATGACCAAGACAGAAACTCCATGGAAGTCATTTCTACACAGATTGTGTCAGAAACAGGATTTTTGATAGATGGAACTGCTGTTTTTGGATATAGTTTAGGTGGGGATGCCAGTTTGGCAATTGCAAATGAAACATCCGATTGTTCATCTCCAAGTAGCAACTTTAGTAGTTCTCTTTCTGAGCAATTTCACTTTGTACCTTTTTTCTATATCTCTAGGTTTTCTACAGAATGTAGGAAGTTCAGAAACAGGAACTTGTTCCAAGAACGTGCAACAATTGATGAGAGGATGCCCTTTACTTCAAGGGTGGAACACAGAGAGAAAGACGTGGCAGTCTTTTCATGTTATAATAATCAAGCGGGTGTGATCTCCAGTAGTCCACCAATCTCTTGCCCGGATGCCAATATCTCAGAAAGTTTGCCCCTTAATATTAAGGAAAGGGACTTAGTTGGCATTGCTGGAGGTTCAGAAACTTTGAATTCCTTGTCAGACCTCAATGGAGATTATGATAGTCACATAAGGAGCCTGCAGTATGGTCTGTGTTGCCATGGATATGCTTTATCAGCACCTGAACTAACTCCTCCAACTTTGCCTTCTCAGTTCCAGAGAAAGAAGCCTTGGGATACTGTTCGTCAGTCCATGCCACTCATGCAGAATTCCTTTTCTCGAACCAACACAAATGGTGTGGTCTTGCATGATGTAAAGAGCCCTGTGAACCACCCCACAACATCCAGTCTTGCTGCCTTCAGTTCAGAAGGAAAACATAAACCACTAGGAATTGGCACATACTTTCCCCACAAGGTACTCCATTATGTAACCCGTTTGGCATGTTTTATGATATTATTGTTCTGATATTGATATCCAAATTTGGGCCCATATCATGTTTGGGACGGCTGATATTAGTGTGGAATAGTTCATAACATATCAGATTTTTTGGCCAAAACCCATATCACCAAATTGGTGATATTGTGTGTTATTTGGTGATATTGTGTGTTTTGATATTGTAGCAGAGGCAGTAAAGCAATTTTTCGAATTTCTCAAAATTTCGTTACCAAACGTGGTTCCGATTCTACCCAAAATACCCCCACAACAAAACGGTTGTTTTGGTATTGACCAAAAACATAACACCTAAAACACACCGCATGCCAAACGGGCCCTAAATATTCGTGGTTTGGTTTTTCTTTTCTTTTCTTTTTGTGCGTTTGTTTCGTGTTATGCATGCAGTTTTTATTTTTCACATTGGTCTTAAGCTTGAAAATTTCCAGAACTGGCCTTCACCAGGGAGGGGAAGTAAGGGTTCAAGGAATATTGGTCAGTTGCAGAGACGCACATGTAATAATGGCTTAGCTCCCATTCTGTCTAAGAGAAACTCAGCTGAAGAAGGCAGTCTTGGGAGCTTAAATTCAGAGTCCCAGGCTCCAGGCCCTGTAAAGTCGGGGATATCACGCGAATCTCACATGTTTGGTAATTCCCATGCCAATGGTGTCCCTGTTTCATCTCAAAAATTTGAATTTGGGTCACTTGGGCATCTGGAAGAAGAATACAGCACTTCTCATAATTGGGGCTCTACTCAAAGCCTGGCGGTACAGAGTTCAAAACCAGTCTCGGGTTGTAATAAAAAAAAGTAAGGGTATTTTCTGAGCACATAAATACTGTCAGGCAATGAATAACATATTAGGATGTGGGCGGTGTTCTTCTTTCATACTGAATTCCATCTAAAGGTCTGTACATGGTTTTGTTTTTCAGGGTTGCAGGGCAGTCGTATCAACTTAAGAATGAAGATGACTTCCCCCCTTTGCCCTCTGGATGCCATCGGTAAGGTAATCAATTCAAACTAAGAATGGAAAAAGGTCGCCGAGATAATAGAATCTTCCATGGCAACACTGTTATGAGGCAATAAACAAGAGATGCTAAAAAACCAAACCAAGCTATAGGGAGTGCAATGTTTTCTTCTCTTTCGTATTTCTTTTTTTTTTTTTTTTTCCCAAATTTCCGGAGGAGGTTGGTATTATGTACAAAAAGTGGATATTCTGTATACATTCGTCTGGCTTGTTTTCCCTCTATGCATCAACACGCCATATTGGCGTACAGTGAGGGCCATCACATTCCAAGTGATGTTCTTCCCTTAGCTATTTGCTTGTAGCTGTCCTGGATACATAAGCAAATTTCACTTTTCCTTGTTGACATGCGTACACTTCTGCTGGACAAAAAGAGAAAATTTTATACATTTTCCATTGTAATGATATCCACATTTGGAATGGTTAGTGGTGAATATTGGATATATTGGTACTTTTTTGTTGAGGAATTCTCATTCTTATTGTTTTTTTTTTTTTTTTTTTTTCTGAGCGGAGTGGGGATCTGTGCTATATTGTTAATTACAGGTATTATATTCGAAGTCACAGAATGCTTATGGTATGGTGTTGTTAATTACAGGTATTATATTCGAAGTCACAGAATGCTTATGGTATGGTGTGCGAATTGGCAAATCTTTTTATAATTTGTAAATTTAATTTTCTCAATTTCCGAATTCAAATTTTAAATCCTTGAATTCTCAATAATTTTTCATTAATTAAATCATGGACGGTGATATTTATTATTGACGGCGATTTATCAAAATATAATGTTCAAAATTAAGAATAAACTTACAATATAAAAAATAATAATAATAACAAATCTTTGCCATGTTATACAAATTCTTTTTTTAATTTTAGTTAGAATTTTTATTATTCTATAATTCTTTAAAGTATTCATTTCACGATTTAAACAATAATGTATATCTTTAAGAATCTAGATTAAGCATATAGATTATTACTAATATTATGTATAACACCTTTTTTAATGCTTATGAAATTACATGGTAGCGTTTTATTCTATGTACAAATATCAAGAATATTTCACACATATAATAATATGTAAGTCTATTGACTACATTTTAAATTTTATCAACGTTCATCATCGCTATTCTCTGACACTGCACCAGCCGGGAATCGAACCCGGGTCTGTACCGTGGCAGGGTACTATTCTACCACTAGACCACTGGTGCTTATTGTACATGTCTTCATTCTATTTCATAATAAATTGAGATTTCTAAATACTTCCGCCCCCCTTCGCTCTCGTTTTTTTCCATCGTGCCGACGACCTTTTCTTATATACGAAGAAGTGCGTAAGATCTACTAATCTAGTGTTTAAAAAAAAAATATATATATATATATATATTTTTTTTTTAAACACTAGATTAGTAGATCTTACGCACTTCTTCGTATATAAGAAAAGGTCATCGGCACGATGGAAAAAAACGAGAGCGAAGGGGGGCGGAAGTATTTAGAAATCTCAATTTATTATGAAATAGAATGAAGACATGTACAATAAGCACCAGTGGTCTAGTGGTAGAATAGTACCCTGCCACGGTACAGACCCGGGTTCGATTCCCGGCTGGTGCAGTGTCAGAGAATAGCGATGATGAAATCATGCGCTTCCTGTGATGGATGGGTCCACACAAACATCTGATTTCAAGATGAAAATATGCGCATCTGAGCTTTCTCCTCTTTCCTTTTTTAATTCTAGTTTCCTTGGACTTCAGTGTGATGGGCGGCCTAAAAATCTGGAAATTTTATTTAAAATATTAAAATCAAATAATATATTTTATTTTATTTTATTTTAAAATCAAATTTAAATCACTAATCTAATTTTTGAATTCAGTGATTTATTTTTTTTATTTTTTTTATTTTTTTTATTTTCAAATAGATATGGCCGATTCATAAGGATGGCAATGGAGCAGAGTTGGGTACGAGTTTGGCTAAACCCAACTCCGCCCTGTTAGAAAATTTATCACTTCAATTTCGTCCTTATTTTGGAACGGGTTTGTAATTGTTATATCATTCCCGTCCTTATTTCAATAGACAAAGTTTCGACTCTGTCCTATGAAATAATTTAAAGCTTTGAAATTTAATATATTTACTTAAAAGTAAATATAATATTAAAACTATTATATTAAATGTATTATATTAAAAATATTATATTAAAAGTGATGTTTGAAATTATTATATTAAATTTTTGATTTAATAATATTATAACATTACAATATGATGTAATACGTTGTATCTCGGGTATAATATAATATATTGTATAACTCTTTAAAATAAATGTATCTATAGAGAATATATAGCAAATTATATACAGATAAATATCTAGAGTGGGGCCTACTTTAAATACATCCAATGAGATATTCTAAGTCACCCGGTGGTTAAGCCGGCTTCTTTGTATTGTTTAGTGTAAATGGTACACACTGCCCTTAACTAACAAAAAAATGAAATAATTTTAAACTCTGTTTGGTTAATAATATGTTTAAGAACTTATTTATAAAAACAAAGTTGGAGGAAGATCCAACTTCGTAGAACAATTTTCCCTTTCTTTATGATGTATAATATTATGTATGTGTTAGAGAAAGTTTGTGTGTGAAATAAAAAATATAATATATATATATATATATAAGGAAAAAAATGTGAGGAAATAGGTTAGGTGGTGACATATAGTGTCAAAGCTTCCCATCTCATGTTGAGGTCAGCTCCTCAACGGAGGATTGAGCACATTAATCATGCCACTCCCCATTTCTCATTAATTGTTTAAATTGCCAAACATGGCCTTGCATTGCATGGTTCCGTTTTCGCTTTCTTCATGGCAATGGTTGCAAGCAATTAATTACGTAAATAAATAAATAAATCATTGTTTAATATTGACTTTTTTTTTTTTTACAGAATATGCTGATCACTCTTAGTTATTTTGCACAAAATGATCACTATTTTGTTAAATTTGGCCATTGACCTTATCTAGCATGATCAAGAATGAAGTAAATGTCTTCAAACTTAAACTCGATTTGGCGTAATCGCTAAAATGAAAATAATAATAATAATAATAATTAATTAGTCTATTTGGTAACAATATTTTTTAAAGCACTTCTATTACTAATTTTATAACAACATCCTTTAATATAATGTTAGTGTATTTGATAATAACAATTTTATAAAAGAATAGATGAAATTGAATATTTATAAAATATAAAAAAATGAAAAAAAATTGTCTAAAAAAAAATTTCACATGAAATATAGAATCTCTATCTAATAAAAAAAAGAGCAAAGTGATAACTTAATTTTGATTCTATAAATCAAAGGTAAGTTTAATACTCCACTGAATAAGAGCCAAAATCCAAAATTATAACTATTTCATATGACAAAAATAGCATGAGAGTTTGTTGAATTCAATTTGGCTTCGTGAGAAAATTCTAAGTTATCCACAACCATTAAATTTATGATTAAAAGAGACCACACAACCCGTGGAAATTTTCCTTCATTGCTTAATCAGCACCACCAAAAACCTCGTTCTTTTATAGTTTGGTCAATTTACAAATCATGTGATAAAAAAATAATTTAACAAATCATTTCTATCATGTTTTACTTAGATTTTTGTCTTTCATATGAGGTCCCCCATCGCCAAGCTGAGACATGACAAATTGACAATGAATTAGACGTTTTAGATAAAAATACATGTACTTGATCAAAACATGTTAAGGTGGTGGGCCCCGGATCATTTCATGATTAAAACAAAAGCAAGTTGTTTCTAAAGGGCTGTTCCCTACGTGTCTTGTTTTAACTCAAAACAAGAAAAGTTAATAGTATTCATAATTATGATTGGTAACCTCCCTTTGTTATAAAATTTTTACAATAAAAAATATAAAAAAATATTTAATATAAAAGTATTACAAGTTTAAAAAATATAACGTTTGGCTTAAAAATGTCACTTAAAGATTTTTTTATTTTTTATTTTTTATTTTTTTTGTTAATTTATTGTTCATTGTTATAATACCAAATGATATAGTGTGAAAACATACAAAAATACAGTGTTTCGAATCTTTCGATTTTTGGTCACTAAACAAAAAGATTTTTGTCAAACACGTTTTTGCACTATTTATTGCTACAGTATCCAATTAAAAAAAAAAAAAACAAAAAATAAAACGCAAATCAAACATGCCCTAAAGCAATTGGGTTAAGTCATGAAAACTGTGTAAATATTATTTTTGCACTTACAATTTTTATAACGCATTTACACAATTAGAAAGTATATGGGATGTCACGGACAAATATACTAATAATGATGTATTTGAGAGTGTATAGTTAGATTTTAATACAAAAATGGTTTTTAATTCTTATTTATAAATGAGGATTTTATGTTGCTAGTCATAACATTAATCTAACCGACGGCTGTATGGTTTAGTGAAAAATTTTCACCTTGAAAGATGACGGTTTAAGTTTGCATTAGGTACTATTATCTATTAAAAGTTCTCTCAAATTTTATAACCGTTTTAGAAAATACTCTCACGTATTCAATTTTCAAAGAATAATAGAATTATTTGGTTTATTTAAAAAAAATTAAAAGTGTAAAAGTACAATAATAGAGTTGGAAACACGACATCATCATCCTATCGCTTACTTTCCAATTTTAAAAAATCATTAGATACATGAACCAAACAATCCCTGAGACTCGCCCACAAAAGGTTTTAGCCATGTAATCCAAGCTTATAGTTGTTGCCTTCATATATATATATATATATATATATATCGGACTCCGTACATAAAAACGCACATGTGTCTACGTGGCATGCAATATGAAACACAACCATTTTTTTCTTTGTGGAAGAAATTTTAAATGGTTGAAGTTGGTGCCGTGATGCATAACACCACTCCTCACAGTGACTTGTTCTATTTGCATAACCAATTACCCATTGATTAGCTTAATTTCATCAATAATAAAATTTAAATTAATATTAGTCGAATGAATTTACCATCATTATAAATAAAACATATTTTTCTTTTTCAAAACTCAACAATTTAATTGAGCTTTTGAGACCTTCATGTACTTTACACTTTGTAATAAAAATTAGTGAGAGAAAATGATGATGTTCACACCCTATTCAGACTATTCATATACA